TCCTCTGATTTTTTGTTTTGGTTCCATTTACTCAATTGTGGTCGTCGAGTGGGTGAGTCGCAGGAAAGGTGTGATATGTGGGGACCGACTTTGTTTTATGGCCTGTAAAACATGAAATAGAAAAGCATAAATCTTGGGCGGAAAGCAACGAGTCGGTTTTAATGAGGTTCCTCAGAAAGGTAATATTTGTATTTGTCATGTGTTGTATTTAAAGAAAGTTAAAGGGAGGATGGCCTTAATGATTTAAGTAAAAAATTTATTCTAGAAAAACTTTAGTTACAAAAACAGACCATTTATTGGTCTCTCTCAGCTAGTTCATCTCTTTTAAATAGCGTTTTTAGCCTATCATGAAATTGAAAAGGGTAATATATATACACTTTAATTGATAGTTGTAGCGCATTAAAATAATAATTGCATATGGGGAAATTGCAATTAACTTCCACACAGCTAGGAGAAACTTTTCCAATTGCTAAGTGTATGTTATTAAATTTAAATAAAGTTTGCAATTAAGTATGTTAAGTATGGGTCTTTCGATGGTTAAAATGCAATTACTAAACATCAAATGAAAAGTGGAACAATCTTGATTATTATAATCGCTTTTCTGTTGGAATCTTTTGCTGGATCTTGACAACTTCCTCTGGTAATTGCCCTCCATATGTCGCCCCCACCCAATAATTCCCATAATTCTCAGGCCTTTTTGGTTTTTGCTTCGCTGACTATGCTAATGACCTACTAGGCCAAAAGTTGGCCCGGATGGTCTCAAGTTATTTGGTTTTTTTTTTCTTTCGGTCTCCGACGATTATATGGTGGGCACATGCCAAACCCACACGCTCTACTGGCGGCTTAACCGGCGCATTACTCATGCTCATCTGCCCCGGAAAATTGCCATAACTGGTTGTTCACCCTTTCTGCAAGTTGCCCCTTCGGTCTCTTTGGTCTCTTTGGCTGGTGCAACGTTAGTTTCTTTAATTAAAAAAGCATGAACTCTTTGTAAAGTTCCGGGACCTTACTAAGCACCCTGCCCCCGGCACAGCTCGAATTGCCCATTTACTGGCATTGCCAGAAAAAAAAAAATGGGAGCACAGGGAACCTCAGCTGCCACTCCCAAAGTCAAAGTTGGAATTTGTGTTTCCATACTCTAGTTAAATATGTTTCAGATTCAGTGACATCTTGGGCTCCTAAGAATATGTTTACACTTTATTACCTATGTAGACATGACTAACAAGCTGGGCAGGTTGGTCACTCTCTTTAAGTTTTAATGGTGAAACTATAATGTTAGCTTAGTGTAATTATAAAGAGAAATTAAGTGCTTTAGAATACTAGAAGAATTCTTAGATCTAACATATCACTATCAAATTGCCATCATAACTATTATTTACTTTAAAACTTTTTACAGATCTTTAAGAATTAATTGTTTATTCCATAGCTGTTTATTCAGCGTTTCTAGAATAAATGTGCAAAAACTTTGAACAAGCGTATAAATACTTCGGCTTGTGGAGTTCGTGGTTTCAAAGCGTTTTTTGGGTAACTTTTTGCATTTCCCGCTAAGAAAACAGTTTTTTAACCGTTTAAAGTTTGTTGGGGGACTGAGGAAAGGGTTTCTTGTGCCTTCAGCTGCAGCTGCAATTTCCGTGCCATTTATGCAAACTATTATTCTTGTTTTTGTTGTTGCTTGGCCCTCCAACGTTTACAATTTTTGAACTGAATTTACGTTCACACTTCTGCCTTCTGTCTTGCGATTCTTTCTTGGCCTTCTTTTCGGCTTCCTTGGCTGATTGCAATGACTTTCAATTAACTTTCTGCCAGAAAGTTTTAATTAAAAGGAAATAATTTTTTGGTGCAATTTAAAAGTGTTGCAATCGTGATTATTTTTATGGACAAAAATTCGTTTTAATTTTCAATTGAAGTAAAGTTTGTTAACTTAAATACAATTGAAAAAGTATTATGAAATTGACTAACGGCAAAACACAACTTTTACGCCCACCGAAAAATACAGGAAAATAGCTAACAGCAAAGTTACAATCGATTGCGAGTGCTTTCAGAAAAGTTTTCCATACACAGAACTACAAATTTGGTTGGCAAGAGCACAAAAGAAAAAGAAAGGCAACCGAACCAACCAATACATCATTTCAAAACGTAGATAAAGTTATAATCGAATGATAAGCTTAGCAAATACCTATTAATTGTATTGGATTAATTTCTTAAAAATGTATAAGTCTGTTTAAAAGTTGGTTTGAATAGATGGTCTTATTAAGATGTATAACTTATAATTGTATCTTATCATTTTGTTTCTGACAGTATACCAAAATGTGTAAATAAGTGGTACACATAACATTGTTTTAACAACTATAAAAGTGCCCATAATCTTTATAAACGGAATATACCCTTATTCCCTAAACATATCAACAAAGGGTAGCAAAAGTATCCATTTGCATTGAAAACATTCACATGACCGCCTCAAGTTGCAACTCGAAACGAAATTAAGCTTCCTCAGAGGGAACTTCAAGGGGTCAAGGGGCCCAAAGGAACCAAAGGACCCAAAGAAAGCAGCAGGGCAAAGGGCCAGGACGAAGAGGAAGTTGGATAGCAGCAAAGCTGACTTTTTGAGTTGGGTTTGCTGATGTATAGGGAAGCATAGAAAAACACACAAACACGCACACCCACAATCAGAAAACAGGAAGGGAACTTGGCAAAAAGAAACAACAAAATCATTTCCAACTCGAAATTATATTGTGCAGAAGGAGAAAAGTGACGGGAAGCAGCCACAAAAAAGAAAAAAAAAAGGATAACTCGTCAAAGGAGACGAAGGATGCTATACGTACGTGTTGACTCCCAGATGAAGGTTGCCATCCAATCGTCGAGCAGAAAAAGGTTGACAAAGTGCAATTTGCAATGGAATCAAATTTGCCAGAAAACTCTTGCCAACATTCGTGATGACAGCAGCACAAAACGCTTTCTTTTTGCATTTTTGGAACTAAGTACACAGAAAAAACACGAATATTAAATAAACACCACGTTTAAATCTTAAATTAATATATACAGTCTGTAACTTGAGTCATGAAATAATATATTTTCAGGGCTATTTATGGTATGATTATATTGAGTTCATGTTCTGTTTTGATAACAGCGTTCTTTTTCTCTGAGTGGCAACATTTTTTTGTAGTGTTGTTCTCGAAGTCGTAGATGAACTTATATTTTTGCTCTGTATTTATGCAGGATAAATTTGCTGGCAAAATGTTTTTGATGGGGGTCAAGGACAAGATGCCCGGAGTAGTTGACGCTTGGCTTCTTCGGTTTCCTTTTTCCCGGAAGTTATTAAGCTCCTTTGGTCGGAAGGAAGTGAAAATGTTCGACTAATTGAAATAATTGAAGCAAACTTTGTTGGAAATTGTTGGTGAATAGAAGTTTTCCACTATCTGCAATCGCTGGGGTTCCCCAGAATCTCCAGCATCTCGCTCCCTTTCGAGATTTCCTGGTGAGCCTAAGCTTTGGTTTCTCAGTTCTTTTTTTATAGCACGTCGGCCACATTTCTCTGTGGAGCAAAAGGGGAGAAATGAATGGGGCTCTTGGGACGGGGGGAAAACGCTTAAATTACCATAGGAGTGGTTTCATGGGGCGTCTGTGAGTGGGGCAACGACGGTTCCGTTGGGTGACAGGTGGTGGCTTGTGGCAACATCAGTTAATGTCCGCTGATTAGCATACTGCCTCCCCCCTTGGTCCTCATGCAACAACATTACCCATTTCCCCCCTTTTTTTACCCCAAGTGAAACATTTGAATGGAGCTGCAAACCAGCAGCAGTGCTGCTGCTGCTCGTCAGACCTTAAATGCTTTTAAATTTTAATTAAATTGAATGCATCGTTCAGTTGGCAGGAGATATTGTTTTCTCTGCGTGTCGAACAGAAATAAAAACCTAAATTATGGCCAATGGCAAATAAGAGTGAATAAATCATGGGCCTTGCTGGAAATTGTTCATTTGTTTTTCCAGGCCTTTTTGTCTCTCATTTGCGGACTATTAATTTATTTTTGCGCAATGGGTCGGCCAGGGACTTTGAGAAGTTGGTAGCTCCATCATGGGTAAAAGTTTTGCGGCAAACTATGCAATAATTTCATCATTGCAAAAAGTTCTGCGAGCATGTGAAGAGTTTTTGATTGAGTTTTCAGTTTGCATAGTTCGTCGAGTTAGTTTGACTTGAGTGCTTGGCTATTTGTAAAATGCTGACATTGCTACGCTGAACTTTGAACTCAAATATGAACCATAAACCCCTTTATCACTCATAAATTGGGGATTTGTTTGTATTTACTTAAAAAAAATTGCAATTCTGCAAGTGAAACCTCGTTAAATGGATGTACTTTTGTTTTAATGTACCCAGTTTAATATTCCACTTCCTCGCTTCAATTTTGAAAAGCACACAAGCACCTTGCTTAGAATTTTACTTATCCTTGACAACCATTTATGCATTCTTAACACCAGGCCCCAGGCATTTTCTTCTCCCTCGTCCTTGTTATGGTTTAATTAAATTCTCCACTAAACTTCCTGCCCTCGTCCGCATGAAATATTCAAACACTCTTGTGGCAAGAACAGGACAGCCCAGACAGGATTAGTCCGGGAAAAACAAAATCAGGAGCCGGATTAAGCTTGCAATGGACGGAGGAGGACGCAACGATTTTTTTTTAGTGTTTTGTACATGCATAAACGGCTTAAATTATAGTTATTTTGAATTGAATGCAATTTCATGCAGATAAACAAAGGCGACCTTATATATACCAATACATAACGATATTTGTAAAGCATTAAACATTCAATGAACATGTAGGTTTTGTATGCTATTCAAACTAAAATTATTTATCTTATTTAAAACCAATGGGTGAAAAATGTAAAACCAGTGAAAAAGCATTACAATTTAACAAGAAACTTTAGAAGAATTTTAAATATCCGTAAAGATTTTCTTTTGAACTAAACAACTCAAGTCTAATAAATATATCTGCAATCCCTTTTCAGATGTAGAGCACAACCCGAACAAGGAAGAAGAAGTCCAGCAGCAGCGAGAAAATCCCGGGGAATCCCAACCGGTGACAGGCAAACGCTCTCCATTCACCAGGATGTCGTTCAAGCTATTTCGCCGAGGATCGGCGCGCTGCATCGGCTTGCTTTCAGCGTTTGTGACCATCCTGCTCTGCCTCTACTACATCTCGATTGGCCAACCCAACCCAACGCCCATTTCCGAGACAGGTGCTCCATCGGCAGCGTTACGGGGATCACCACTCAACGGATTAACTGGATTTAGCGTGGGCGGAGGCTCCTCTTCGATTTCCCACCAACAAAAGCTGCACGCCGGCATTGTTTCGAATCAGAAGAGATCCTCGGAAACGAAGGCAGCGCAGGCCACAGGACCTGCCGAGTCCCAATCGGAGGAGGAGTACGTGAACACCAAATGGGGTGATAAGTGCTATGAGTTGCTTCAGAGCAACACAAACATTACTGCCAGCGAGGAGCACAGTAAATTCGATTTTCAGGTGAGCACAACCCAAACATCCTTGGAAAATAAGTTGTATCTTAAATGGTAACTTTTCTTTTAGCCTGAATGGATGCGCTCGAAGGAATACTGGGATCGTGGCTTTGAGGAGCGCTTCGATGCCCAGAAGAAGGATAAACAACGACCACCACTGAAGATCATAGTGGTGCCACATTCGCATAACGATCCCGGCTGGCTGAAGACCTTCACCAACTATTTCCAGTCGGACTCCCGGCAGATCCTCAACCTGCTGGTGACCAAGATGCAGGAGTACACGGACATGACGTTCATCTGGTCGGAGATCAGCTTCCTGCAGCTGTGGTGGGACCAGGCGCATCCCACCAAGCAGCGGGCGCTTAAGCGACTAATTGACGCGGGTCGCATCGAAATCACCACCGGCGGATGGGTGATGACTGATGAGGCGAATGTCCATATTTACCCAATGCTGGATCAGCTCATCGAGGGTCACCAGTGGCTGAAGAACAACCTGAATGTTACGCCGAAAGTGGGATGGTCCATCGATCCCTTTGGACACGGCAGCACGGTGCCGTATTTGCTGTCTGGAGCGAATTTCGAGGGAGCCATCATCCAGAGGATTCACTACGCCTGGAAGCAGTGGTTCGCCCGCCAGCAGTCGGGTGACTTTATCTGGAAACCCTATTGGAGGGGCAGAAATGGAAAGGATAGCGAAACGGGCAGTCTGCTCACCCATAACATGCCCTTCGATATATATTCGATCAAGGGCTCGTGTGGTCCGCATCCCTTCATCTGCCTGAACTTTGACTTCCGCAAGATTCCGGGAGAGTACACGGAGTACTCGGTGAAGGCGCAGTTCATCACGGACGACAATCTGGAGTCCAAGGCGCAACTTCTGCTTGAGCAATATGCCAGGACTGCCTCGCTGTTTCCACACAATGTGGCCCTCATCCCAGTGGGCGATGATTTCCGTTACAACAAGGATCGCGAAGTGGATCAGCAGTATCAGAACTACAAGAAGCTAATCGATCACATCATGGCCAATAAAAGGCTGTATAATGCAGATATCCGTTTTGGAACCCCAAGCGATTATTTCGAGGCCATCAAGGAGCGCATGAAGGATCACAATCCTGGTTTTCCCAGTTTCAAGGGTGACTTCTTTGTGTACTCCGACATCTTCTCGGAGGGAAGACCAGCATACTGGTCAGGTTACTTCACCACACGTCCGTTCTATAAGCTTCTGAGTTCCGAGTTGGAGCATCAACTTCGATCCGCGGAGATTGCATTCACCCTGGCTTACAATACTGCTCGTCAGACAAAGCGAGAGAATGCGATCAAGATTTACGAGAAGAACTACGAGCTGATCATCAATGCCAGGCGGAATCTTGGACTCTTTCAGCACCACGATGCCATTACTGGAACCTCCAAGGCGGCGGTGATGCGGGACTATGCGATGCGACTGTTCGAGAGCACCCAGAACATGGTCAAGATGCAGGAGTCCTGCCTGGAGTTGTTGCTCCAGAAGGGTCAGCCTAGGCATCACGGCTTCCTGATCAGCGAATTCGAGCGGGATAACTTCAACAAGCTGCCCCGCAAGATGCCCATTCAGATGGCCAACGGGGACGAGTCCGCACCCACTGTTTCGGGTGGTGAAGGTGGAGCGGGTGGATCAGCATCTGCAGGATCTGTTGGCAGTTTTGTCCTTTACAATTCACTGGCTCAGAAGCGATTAGAAATTGTAACTCTGCGCGTTCAGCATCCCAATGTGAAGATCCTCAACCACAAGGGCGTGGAGTTGAGTCACATCCAGATCAACCCAGTGTGGAACATCACGGATACCTATGAACAGGGCCTGGGGACATCCGTTTCCGGAACAGTGGGACGCATTCGTACATCGACGCGCCAATTCGAAGTGATGTTCGTGGCTGAGCTGGAACCCCTATCCCTCATCACGTTCCGCGTCCAGGTGGATGAGGTAAACTTCAAGCGGAACATCGCGACCATCTACTGTGACGATTGCACGGAAACATCTGCAGTGAGTCCCCCGGAGGAAGTTGAATCTTCTCCGTCTCCAGTTTTTGCAGCGCGGGCCAAGCCAGCAGGTAAGTTTCCTTAAAAATATTTAAATTGAAAATAAAATAATACCATTTTCAATCTCCAAAGGTGACATCCAGTTGGAAAATCCCCACATGCGCCTGCTGTTCGACGAAAAGAGTGGCTTCCTCAAGACCATCACACGTAAAAACCAGAAGAAGGAGCTCCTGAAGCCGCTGCAGTGCAACATCAAGTTTGCAGCCTATCGTAGTGCCCAGTTCCACTCGGGCGCATATCTCTTTAAGACCGATCCCGAGCAGAGTGAAGCCGAGAAGGAGGTGCTGGAGGGCTACACGGATATGCGGATCATCATCACCTCAGGACCGATAGCCAGTGATGTAACCGTCATCTATGGACCCTTCTTGGCCCACACAGTGCGCATTTTTAACACCAGAACTCACCTGGATGCGGCTATTTACGTAGAGAACGACATCGACTTTGAACCGCCACCCAAAAATCGGGAAACGGAGCTCTTTATGCGGTTGGTTACCAACATAGATAATATCGCTCAAGCTCCGCTGCAGCGGGATCCTCTCAAGGAGTCGGCGGATGCGGCTACCATGCCCGAACTGCCCATCTTCTACAGCGATCAGAACGGTTTCCAGTACCATGAGTAAGTTCAGGGTGTTACCATTAAATTTGGATAATTTAAATTAATTCGGTGCATCTCTTTCTGTTTAGACGCATTAAAGTGCCGGCAATTGGCATTGAGGGTAATTACTTCCCCATCACTTCTGGTGCTTTTATCCAGGACACACGACTTCGCCTCACACTGCTGACCACCCACGCTCAAGGAGCAGCTAGTTATGAGCCAGGTCAACTGGAGGTGATGCTGGACAGGCGCACCCTGTACGACGACTATCGTGGAATGGGCGAGGGCGTCGTAGATAGCCGGCTGACTCGTCACAAGTTCTGGCTGCTGGTGGAGGATCTCCCTGGTGGTCAGCACGTTACCCAGCCGCCCAGCTACAAGGTGCTCAGCCAGCAGGCACAGCAACTGGCCAATGCACTGCGATACCCGCCGAACCTTTACTTTGTGAGCAGCCTGGAGCAGCCAGAACTTTCCGCTGCTTTGTTGCCCTTGGTCAGGCTTTTGCCCAAGGGAGCGCTGCCCTGCGACGTCCACCTGACCACCCTGCGCACCCTCTCTGATCCGGAGCTGCAGCTGTTTCCGTCCGCCTCGGCGCTGCTAGTTCTGCATCGCCAAGGATTCGATTGCAGCGTCAGCGCGGGCAGGGAGTTGTCCATGGAGGCCCTGTGCCCTCTGTCCAGCAAGGGATTGGGCAGCGTGCAGCTCGGTCGGCTGAGCCTCCATACAATCGAGGCCACCAGTTTGACGGGGACGGAGCAGAAGCCTTCGAAGGACAGCTTCCACATACGCTCCCTGGCCGAAATCAGTTTGGAGCCCATGGAACTGCGCACCTTCAATCTTACATTTCGCCCGGAGGTGTGAGCCGGCTTGAAGCTCATTTAGCGGAAATATTAATTGTATTTATTTGTGGTTTAGTTTGAATAGTTAGCGGTAAGCGCCAAGTGCAAAGTTCTCAGCTTTATTTAGTTCTCGTCACGTCTACTGTCTGTCTCCAACAGTTTTGAAAGTACAAAGCACACGACATAGTTATAAACAAACGGAAGGGTGGGTGGGTTCATTAATTTGTTTAATTATATAGAAAGAAAGTTTATGAACAGTTCTGAGCATCCATGAGTTATCCATGGACTCTTTTTTATCTCATGACACCTTTGTTTTTTTAAGTAAACTGGTCGACCCATCCGAAAGCATACATGAAGACAAACCAACAGCCTGACTCAATGCAATAGGCCAAAACACCTAACTCGACTGCCCAGTGCAACGCATTCCGGTTAGCTAATCTCCCCTAGCTTCATTATTGAAATATTCGTGCAATATTCTTGAACTAAACCGCACTTTGGAAATGATATAGCTTAGATTAAGGACTAGCTTCATTTTAGATGGAAATATTTAGACAGCAAATTAGAAAAATTTTCATTTTCGTTTGCGCGATTGGCGTTCACATCGATTTGTTTAGACTGATTAGCCTAAAACCTTTTTGCGAAATTGGCATGTATTATTAATCTCAATTACGATAACCAATCCTAGCCCTAATCCAGAACTAACCAAAACACGGAAATATCTCGATTGTAAAATCCCCAAATATAAACAAGTGTATGTAGGCTATAAGTTTTAAACGAGAAGCATAGTGGGGTAGAGAAAGTATAAGCCAAATATAACATTACATTCACTAGCAATATTGTACATAGTCGAATAGGATTTCCAGGCACGGTAAAAATAGCTCTAATAACCGATATACCACATAGACGTAAGACCCCCTCTCAACTCTGGTATTTTCGTATACGAGAGTCATTCGAATAGTTACTACTGACTACAGAAACAAACCATTCAAAGCAAGCAAGACATCAACTTTAGATAACCCAGAACGTAAGGACGAGCGAAGGACGATAGAACACTTCTAACAGATACAAATTTTTTGTGTATTTATTTATAAAAACCTTATTACATTATATCTAATTTTATGGATACAAGAAAATAAAGTATTAAATGAAACCAATTACGAGAGGTGTGTTTGAATTCAAATGTTTTGTTTGCCAACTTTGAAAAGTATATCTGATTCCTATTCTAAATATTTATAATAAATATCAATATATCTAATTAGGAACACTTTTGAAGCTTAGTGTATTGACAAATTATTTAGATACTCCCCAAAGTATGCTTTTTGTATTATAATTCTTACCAATTTTGCGGCACTGAATATTTTATTATAGTTAACTGTCGTCAATAACTCAATTACTAACAGCCTAATTCAATCATATTTCGAACTAAAATAACGTCTTCCGTAATAGTTATTTTTAATTTATTGCTAGACATTTTAGCTCAGTTTAACAACCACTTAACTAATAGTTAACAGGGAAGAAAACCACAGATACTAGTCAAATATTGATACGGGTATTTGCAATTTGCTCAGTCCGGAACCACTTCGTACATGTTTGCACCCTTCATGAGCAAATAGCCGCCCAAGTTGGCCATCTCCACCACCTGGCTGATGTTGGTTAAGATTCCAGCCCGCGACCCGATCTCCTTCAACTCCTCATATTCAAATATGCGCCGTCCCAAAGCTGCCGAGCGTTTTTGCACCAAGTGCACAAAATTGCGCAGTTGAGCGCCTTTTCCAACGCCGCCACCACCTCCTCCACGCGCTCCGGATCCACCGGAGTCTGACTTAAGGCTGGTCTGTGTGATGCTCGCGGTCAGAAGGGATATCACATCGCGAACATGTTGTGGATTGACTACATGGGACAGATCCAGACGGGCACGTGCCTGGGACAGGTGAATCAGGCCAAGAAGTTGTCTGAGGTAAACAAATATATTAGCTTAAATGTTAAAAAGCCTTAAAACTAAAATTATTGCAAAAGTTATTTTCTTACAAGTTTATAGTTTTTCATTGGAAAGATAAATTTGAAACCTTTACAAGAGCCTCAAAAAGCGATCTTTAATTGTAAACCAAGTTTTAAGTTTTTTTAAATACAGCAAGAACTGCACTATAGTTAAATTAAAGAAAAAATTTGTAACAAAATTATTTTTGACATTCCATCTTGTAAGTTCCACAATTACTTGATGTTTTCAATGAAATAAATTTAACCTTCAGCTTTTTATTAAAATGTTGTTTTGCCAAAAATTGACAATCAAGTTTGTTTCCTGAGTCTTTTGATTTTAGCCCTTATTGGCAAAAGTTGATAGAACCTGTCTTATGTTATTCTTTGCTGTTCGCGCTCAGTTTGTAAAATAAAAGCTCGAGGCCGTTAGTAGGTCTCCCATTATTAATTTCGCATCATGTTTTCGTCAAGATATACGTTGTTGGTAATTAGTTCTTTTCCATTGGATGATTAACATACATATCTCCATATTTGCCCAAAACTAGTTTTGCTACAGAACTTTTGGGGGGTTTTTGTAAGTCGTAAGCCCAGATGGTCGCAACTTGGCGCCTAATAACTGCTAACCTGGCTGATGGCCCGAAACGTAAACAAATAAATCAGTTGCATGTGGGCGAGCATCATCGAACATGTTCCAACGCATTTTGCCTTTACGTTTTGTTTTATTTTTCGGAAACCAACGCATTTCCCGGAGGGAGTTTTGAAACCCATCATTACAGCAACTGCATCGAAACCGAAATCGAAGGCAGAAGCAGAGGCAGAGGCTGCGGCAGCGAGCCCTCATCTCGTCCAGATACTTTACCCACACGCATCGGTTTGGGCCGCGTTTCATTCTCGGCTCGCACGTTGAGGCAAACGGTTCATTAGCTGGCGGATCACTGCGGTTCGGTTCGGTTTGGTTTGGGCCAAAAGTGCATTTCCTAACAACATTGGCATTGGCCGGACAGCGGAAGCCCCTGGGTCTGGTCATCTGCTTTGTTTTACTTCATTTATTTCGTGTCGCGCCGCCTCGCATCGGTTGATGAAATTCGGCTTCTTATTGTTATTGGTGCGCTGGCGTTGCATTTGATTGCCGATCACTCCGAGTGACGAAAGTGCCAAGAGTCTCTCAAAGACAATTAATTAGAGGGTGCATTACGACCGCCGATTCGATATGGTACATCCCACGATGATGCTACACATCGTGATTTTAGCCGCGATTTTAACGGCTGCGCAATGTTTTCAATTGAACAGTAAGTGGAAATCGTTTGTGATAACTTATAATCAGTAGGCAGGATTTATTTCCGTATAATGCTGATTTATGGGAATATAAAAATAGCTGATATGTTTTTGGTAAAATCAGGTGTCATATCCATTAGTACAGGTGATAAAAAAATTGTTGTGAATGATAAATAGTTTTTAATCTTTTTTATTCCCATTTAAAATTTGCATTTTTTTCAAAAATCATAAAATATTTCCCTTTTTTGAAAATCTGTATTAAAAATCTGCTTTTATTTTGCTTCTGATTTAAAAGTTGGATTTGATTTATACAATTTTGATTTAAGCTGGCAATCATTTTTAGTGATCTGCCTGCAGAAAAGAGGGCTAAAAACTTTTAAAACAGATTGCAAACTGTAGTTTAAAACCGCCTATCATGTAAAGTCTATGATTAATACAGCTTGAATAATGGTTATACGTACTTCCTATTGCAAATGGAAAAGTTCTAAACCGACAAATACGAAAATCACATAATCCATTATGAAGTGACACATTGCATGCTATGCTTTTCAATCGATATAACTATAGAATACTTTGCCAAAGTTGGTATTACCCTAATCTGCACCTGCTCCTCCCAATCGCGTGTTCTGCGGTAAAAGTTCCCCTCCCAAATTGGAGGCACAAAAACCTCTCGAGACTTCGATGACTGAGCATTATTTCGACAAACAATTAACTCAGCCAAAGTGTCTGGAATTTGACAAGAGATTGAGTCCGTCACTTGACCAGCAAAAAAGGCAAAAAAACAATTACATTATTTACATTTGTTTGGTTTGGTTATTTCCCTCAATCGGACTTAAGATGAAGATGCAGCCGCAAAAGCAGGAAAATGCAAAACAAGTTCAAGTTCGAGCGAGGGAAACTCGTTTCCTTTCACTTGAATTAACAGCCATTGAACCCGGGAGTGTAGTTCTAGCGAAAAAAAGGATCTGGCAGGCCTAAAAACTAGTTTGCAACTTAATGAGCTGATTCATCCGACTGATGTTTCCCCATGATGTTTCTCGATCTGTTCTTTCCCTTCCGCCTTGCAGTGACGCAGTTCTATGAGATGCCGCCGCTGTACGACTTGGATGACTACGATCGATGCCTCCAGGAGTTCGATGGACAGTCCTCCACATATTGTTTCGTCCGTGCCGAAGTCCAGCCGGATGAATCGGTGGCCGCTTGGAGGGCAATTGCCGAGATTTCGCGGTACGACCGCCACCACTTTGATCACAAACAACTCTACTTTGGCCTCTGCCTTCGCGAATGCGAGGCTTCGCTGGCCGGATTGGACGAAAGCGAAGTGGAAGCCCTGCAAGCCGGCTTGCTCACGGAAAATGCAAAGGTAAGGTCACTCGGAGGTGTCACCTCATTGGTAGCTATCCAGCTGCGGCTAACGATCGATTTAATTCAATCTTCAAACACGCTGCTGGGCAGATATTTCAAAACCCAGCGAGGCGTCGCTCGAAATGGTCAATCAACAATCATCGGACACAGAAGCCGGGATAACAGCACCAAAGTTTATTCAACTCGCACTCGCCGCGAGCTGCAGATTAATGGAGCAGTGGCGTAGTTTAGGGGGATCTTTGCTAGCATTTTTCGGAAATTTTAAACAGCGTTTAAAGCAGGGAATATAAGAACAAAATAAAAATCTTGTTTGCAATTAGCAATTACTCTGGGCTCAATTTTAAAAGAGATATACGTTTAAAGCAAGTAGGTTTCATTTTATTCTTTAACTGAATTTTAATGTATTTTTTTTTTAACAGCTTTCTTAAATTAATAGACTTCAAAAAAATTTACCCAAATTATGCAGTTTACCAAATTTATTACTGTTTTTAAACTGGTTTCGCTTTGTTTTTAAAAATAATAAACTTCAAAAGCTCATTAAAATTTAAGTCAATTCCCCAAAATAAACAAGTCACGTCTCATTCAAAAATCCCTTTTGGCTGATACCTCTGACCGAATGCGTGATCTTCATCTTCATTACCTATAAATATTGCATAAATTACAGCCGGAAAATCCGCTGATTAAACATTGGATAGCTGGGTAATGGGATCTGGCAGCCGAGAGATGGAAATGGGAATTGTGTGGCGATGCCATTGATGCAGTCGGCATCAAAACGCATTTACGATTGCTGGTTACACAAAAGCTGTTGATTTAGGCGTTGGCCAAAAATGGAAATGGGCGGTCAGCAGCGAAATCCGATCCAATTCAATCAAATCACACTCATTTCTTTCAAGGCCAAGGGCCCGCCGTTGACATTTGGGCCGTTTAATGATCCACCCATGGCTGAATATCTTTCGCAGGTGAACGTGTATCTCGACTTGTTCTCGATGGAAGCCAACAATCGCCAACGGCACCAGCGATTGACGAATGCCTGCCTTAATTGGCGGCTGCAGCGTCGTGGATTCGGGGTGCTGGCTAAAAGCGTGGTGGAGTACTGCGATGGAGCGGGTCATCAAGTGGAAGAAGGTAAGGGTAAACAATTTGCAAACAAATTATCATGTGTTAAACATAATCGCAAATTTTATAACAAGCTTTATAAAATTCCTTTCAGTTCGAAGTATTTTTTAAAACTTCGAAATTGCATACAAGGAAGGAATACAAAAAAAACAATTAAATAAATATCTTTCACAGATGCATGGAATCTGACATTTTATGGAATACTGGGCGGCCTATTGGTACTGGCTTGCCTGGGAAGCCTAGTGGATCTCCACCTGAAGCGAGGACGACATGACAAGATGCTCAAGGAGCGAGATCACTACAAAACGCCGCCCAAAAGCACCACTCAACAGGTGCTGCTCACTTTTTCGGTGGCTCGCAATTGGTATCGCCTTAATCAGGAGCCAAGTGGCAAGATTGGGAGGGAGTTGCGCTTCCTCGATTGCTTCAAGTTCTTTGCCATGTTTATGGTGATCTTCGCTCATACCAACTGGGTTATTTACGAGAGTGCTATTAGCAATCCGCAGGATCCGGAGCGCCTTCTCCACACTGCAGCGGGCACTTTACTAGTTTCTGGATCCCTAATCACTGTCACCTTTTTTGTGATCAGTGGGCTGCTGTTGACCATAAATTGGCTGTCGGTTTCCCGTGCCCTCGAATCCAAAAAGGACAAATGGAGCTTTGCCCAATATGCTCAGCTTTTTGTTAAGTTTAACGCATTTCGATATGTTCGGTTGACTGTTCCGTATGCTTTTGTTCTGCTCATGAGCGGAGTCTACTTCGAGAATGCTGGCGGTCCTTTGTGGCGACACATATTTGAAAGGGAGCAACTGGCTTGCCGGCGCAACTGGTGGACGAATCTACTGTACATCAACAACATGGTGCGCACGGATGAGCGGGTAAGTTGGATTTAGTACATCATTAATTAAGGTAACTCCAATTAAATCTCGGATTTCTTTTCTGTAGTGCCTGCTTCAAGGTTGGTATTTGGCAGCGGACACTCATTCGTTTGTGCTTAGCTTGGTCCTGCTGATGTTGGGTCACAGGTTCGCCAGGTGGAGCAAACACCTTTATGCTGGCATCTTAGCTATTTTTGTGGCACTGCCAGTGGTGCTCACATATGTTATGGACTATTATCCTATTTTTGTGCCAACGCCTCAGTAAGTTATTGGATTTAAACCTATAAGAATACAATGACAACTATTCTTTTCATCTATCAAATAGAACCCAAAAGGATTCGTTCATAGGAGACCGCCAGTTTACCGAGTTCTACACTTCTTCTTGGATGAACTTCGGTTGCTACTTCTGTGGAGTTTTGGCCGCTTTGGCCAACGATCAGCTGAGCTTAAAGCAATACAAGTTGCGGGAGCTGAAGAGCTTCCAGTTGCTTTGGTTTACCCTCATCCCGGTGGGAATTATGTGGCTGTTTAGCGCACATCCCATCTTCCAGCACTACTACGTGTCTCCCTCAGCCATTTGGGGTGCCTTATATGCCGGCTTACAGAGGAATATCTGGGCCTTTGGCTTGGGCATCTTTATTGTGGGCATGGCCAGCAAAGTGGGATGTAAGTATCGGTTTAGCGGTATTTAAAATACGTTTAAACGGAAATTTTCTTTGGTCAGGGATCTTCCGTAAATTCGCTTGCCTGCCCATTTTCCGCATTTTGGGACGCCTTACATATGGAGCATTTATTGTCCATCTTTTGGTGGCAAGAATTGTCTTGGCCACAGTGCGTGAGCCCATATATTTCGGCACTGGCATGATGGTGAGTTGTGTTTATTAAGCAAATATAAATTGATAAGAACCAGACTTCTTTTATCCTTGAATCACAGTTTGCCTTCATCTTCTTTACGATGACCATGTCCTATCTGTGCTCCTTCCTGCTGACAATCTTTTTGGAGCTGCCCGTCTCCTCCTTTCTTAAGCTTGTGCGATAGTCCAATAACTTAACTTATAGATTACTTATAACTAGAATAAAAACATAACTTAATTGAATAAACTACCAAAAGAGTGCACTTACCCCACTCCGATTTGGCTGGAGTCGCCTTCATCCTGCCCGTTTCTTCCTTGCAGTTCCAGGAAGAATCGCAGGATGGCGTTGCCAGCTTCTTCGTTTAATAGAGGATTCACTTCCTGGCGGGCGTAGGCAACGAATTTCTTGATCAAAACTGGTGGCAGCAGGTCTAAGTCCCCTTCCTCCGGCAGCAGTTCCAGCTTCTTATCCAGATCGTAGTCCTGCTGCAAGATGCTGTCGTTGTCGTCCTCCGTTTTCATTGTGTCATCTTCTGTTCCCGCCGCTGGTACATTAAATGTAGCCTCGTTCATGGAGTCACTCATTTTGGGCTTCAGAGCATATCGAGCTGCAATTCTGGCCCGCTTTTTAGCCCCAGCATGGAGAGCTCTAACGTGAGCAGTCAAGGACATGTCCCTCTCCGAAGGCTTGTCCAGGAGCACGTAGACCAGGTGAAACTCCCGGAGCAATGAAGGCGTAATGTTAATATTCTGAAGAAGATAACGGCCTTCATCGTACTGTCCCCTTTGCGGATTTGCGCAGGCAATCACCGATGGTTGGGTGGGAAACGATCCAAAGGCTCCCGGAAGTGGGAGATTCACCTCACCCGATTGCAGGCACTGCAGCAGAATGGCTTGCTTGGAGGCCAGCTTGTCCACATCGTCCAGGGTGCAGTGGCCTCCACCACTAGCTGACATTAAGGCACCAGCTTGCAGGACACGCTTGTTCCTTCCAGCGAAGGTCACACCCAGATGCTGGGCAGACTGGGCACCTTTTTTTCCACTCACGTGGGCACCGCGCTCCGTGATCTGTGCGCAGCTCTGCAGGATCTTAGTCTTGCCAATGCCGGGATCTCCCACCAGCAGAACGTTGATGGCTTCAGCCTCCGCTCCTCTACCCCCGAGAAGGGAAAGCAGACAGGCTGCCTTGGGCAGCTCATGGCCGTAAACCTCTGGGGCAATGGACTGCACAATCAGCTTGAAGCTATTCGGTTCACCGTTGATCATGGCAATGGCTTCCAAGTCCCGCTCGCTGAACTCTCGCTTGAGGGCAGCTGCATCGCGGATGCTTACCGCCTTAAGGTAGGCCTGCATCTGGTTGGAAACGTCTCCTGTGGAAGCATCCTCGCCCAGTTCCTGCAGCTTGAGGATTCCGGTTATCACGACTTCCTGACCCACTCGCAGCGTATCTACCAGATCGTGTCGCAGCTCAACGTCCATCTCGCCGGGCAAGCTGCTCTCAAAGTCATGAACTTGCGCCAGACTGGACTCCTCCAGGCGAATGATCTGTCGAACGGAGAGCCGTGTGTATGGAGAGTTCCTAAGAGGCAGAAAGCCATCGCGCGCCACGCACTCGGATCTCTTGCAGGTGTAGGGACGCGGCTGGAAGGTTCCCCGCTGGCGCATTGCCATCTCCATTTGGCAGCGACTGCAGCGAAAGGCCTGCCAAGTGAGGCTGTAGCTGGGCTCACCCACACCACTCACGGTGCCCCGAATGGCAATCAGAGTGTCCACGCGGGAGTGACTGATCCCTTCCATCGTATCCACGGGCAAAAAGTTCCACGGTCGCACATAGATCTTGCGAAGCCGCGGTGTTGGTGGAATGTACTGCTCTGGCGTGGAGATGGAACTGGCGGCGGAGTCACTGCAATCTAAAAGGTGGTTAACCACCACTGTGTGCATGGCCAGCGATAGAGTGTCCAGCGTGCGGAGTGGGTGCTCCCGAATATCCTCCGCCAGACCAGGCCAAACCTGCTTTAGCTGCTCATCCTGGAGAATGGTTTTGGCGGGCAGCGAAAAGAATCCCTGATCCCGGATTTTCATGAAATCATAGTTGTGCGGATTGCGCTGGTAGTGCGCCTCCACGGCCATAATCCTTCTGGCCAACTCGTTGCCCTCCTCATATTTCTCCCGCAGAAAATACAGCCGCCAACCGGGATAGGCCCTCGGATTGTCGACCGCAATGCTCTGCACCTGGAGTCCATCCTCTGGGGCAGCGTAGTTTTCCGGTCGCAGAAAGCTGCAGTCCATGTTGGTGTTGCGTCCGCGTTTGCTGGCAGTGCGGCTCCATCCTCTTGGTTGCTGATTTGCAGGCGGTGCTCTACTTGGTTCGTCTGATGCTGCGGGCTGCTCCTGATTGGGTTGTCGATTACCGCGGGCAGGAATCACACGCCCATTGCGTCGGAAGTAAAAGTACGGTCGGTAGGCACCGCCACCACGACCACGCCCCCGCACGAATCTGGATGGTGCACGTCCTCGACTGGGCGGTGGATTCATTTAAGTCCGAAATAGTTTATAAGTTTGCGCGCTTTCAAATAGAGATGGTGTCTTTCTAATAGTCATTATCGATAAGTGATTATTTAATTAATCGGTTTTAAGGTAACGCTTTTTTAAAAGGTATTCTTTTATTCTGCTTTAAAAACAAATCAAGAATATCAAATTATTTGGAGATCTCCTTGCTGGTCACTTGCAAAATCTTCATTTCGTGCTTCAGCATATCCAACTGAGCGGGCAGAAAGTGTTCGAAGACCTGCGATAACTTGGACTTGACCTCGCCAAACGTGTTCATGATCAGCTCCGCCTCGAGGGCATTGCTCGGCTGCACGGCATTAAGTTCCTGGAGGAATTCGGTGCAGCCATCGAGGAGCGTCATCTGGTGCAGGTGCAACTTGAAAAGCTGCTGTTGGACATCCTTAATGCACAGGATCTGCTTATCCAAACGAAGTGGAATGGTGGCCAAAGCCCAGATCCGTTCCACCTGCTCCTTGGTAGCCTCCGAGTTCATCTCCGGAGGAGTTTCCTTGGGCTCAGGAACCTTCTCCTCGACGACCTCTGAAGACTCAGCAGGTTGAGTTTCAGGTTCTTCCAAAGTTGGAGGCTAAAATGAAATTAATGTTTAATGCACGTTGGTTAAATTGGAAAACTTACAAGAGGATCTTTCTTTCGATACTTTTTGGATTTATTTTTTTTCCCCATTTTTCTTTCTCAGCTAAAAAAACGATCGTGACTTTATTAAGAAAACGACAAGTCTGATTAGCAAATCGACTACAAACTCAGGGCCCTCTTTTATTAAGACTTTCGTAAAGTTTAGTTCATTTCTATTTTATTTAGGATGAAGAATTCTGTGGACCTTTACCGTGGAATAGCGAATTAAGATTGAAGGGACAGTTTTCTAGGCGAGCAAGCTGCTTGACCATGTCCTCCAGGAGCAAGCTGTTTCGTTGGTTTGGTCCCCGGATCAAGCCGTAGCCCTCCGCATTGGCAATCCGGTGCTGCAAAAGCGGCATATAGGGTCCTTTGAAGTGTGGCTGTCCGTTGGCCAGCTCCTTGGGAGGCTTTGTCGTCGGAACTGAGCTCATTTCTGTCTTAAGAGCACGACAAATTGGCTGATTTGGCCGGAACTTGGGAGCCCTGCTACCAAACTTCCGTTTCTTCTCCGCCTCTAAGTGACTCTCGCACGCGTCCTCGCACTCATAGTTGGGATTACAAAAACCGTAGATTGAGGGTTTGGGCTAAGGAAAAAATAAGAATAAACTAACTCAAAATTAAATTACAAACTAACAGGTCTCATGGCGCGCTCCACATCGAAACGATCCTCATCTGAGTATTCATCCTGTTCGTCCTCCACCTCGGACGGAATTCTTTCGCTGTTGGTTGGCACCTGCGGCACAAATTCCGAGGCACTGGCCCGCAAACCCTGAGTGGCGGCAGGAGTAGCAGAGGGCGAAGGATCAGAAGCAGCCGTTTGTGTCCGGGTTTCCAATTCCAGAAACAAACGCTTATAAGCCATGGCTGATTTTTCCAGTTGGGTGAGATTTTTTTGGCCAGCGATGTTGGCCACGTCCTGCAAGAAATTTTTACTTTGATCCATAGAGATTCAAATCCAAACTTATTTATTTTAGTAGACGTGTACGCGTCAAAAATTTTAAGTTTATTAGCATGAGAACTGAGATTGCTAATATCAATATATATTAAACTGACTTCGGTGTGCTTTTTTACATCTAGGGTCAACATATTCATATATTCATTTAATTCAACTTTTTCTCTCTAGGAACCAACCAAAATTATAGTACTCAATTGGTAACATTGAATTGAACAAGTTATAAAGTTTTTGAAAATGGCACCTGATTAAAAAGTATGGCCATAAGCAAGGAAAAATACTGAACGCAGACCTTAAGTTATCGACGCTATCGATAAGTCAGGGCTGATAAAATTGTAAACAGAGGACGCCTATAAACTGTTTTTTTCTGTGAAAAATACATAAAAACATTAAAAGCGTTAGTAAAATCTACTGATAACATACATTTTAAGATGCCGGTGAGTAGCAACGAGACAGGAAGTTTTAAGCCCATAGCGATTAGTTTTCTTTTGGAATATCACCTGCTTTTGTGATGACCCCCTGCCAGGTATCATTTTTTGGGAAAATGTTTCTAAATGTAAATCTTTTGCAGGCCTATCACTCGCAGATCAAGGAAGTGCGCCAGCAAGTAGGCAACATGGCAATTCTTCCACTTAGGACACAGGTGCGCGGACCAGCGCCCAGTGCAAATGTGGAGAGCGACATCATAGATGAGTCACTATACTTTTTCAAAGCGAATGTATTTTTCCGCACATACGAAATTAAGGTGAGGCTTAAGTCCAGAGATGAAAATATGGATTGGGAAATGTTAATTGGTTATTCTGTTCCCTTTTACAGTCCGATGTTGATCGCGTGCTTATCTATGTTACGCTCTATATTACCGAATGCCTAAAGAAGCTCAATCGGTCGACGAGCAAGGCTCAGGGACAGCAGGACATGTACAGCCTGGCCATCTCCAAGTTCGACATTCCCGGGGATGCCGGCTTTCCGTTGAACGCCGTCTATGCCAAACCACAAACCGCCCAGGATGCGGATCTGATGCGTCAGTATCTCCTGCAGCTGCGCCACGAAACCGGAAACCGAGTGCTAGAGAAGGTATTCAACACCGAGGACGGCAAACCCAACAAATGGTGGACCTGCTTCGCCAAAAAGAAGTTCATGGAGAAGAGCCTAGCTGGTCCGGGACAATAATGTGCTCACTCCAATATCAATTCGTTGTTTTGCTTCTATGACCGGTAAAAACGCTTCAAAATAAGGATTCAAAGCGGATAAGGTCCTGTTTTAAGTGTCACTGCCAGATTGTCACTTTAAATTAGTTCTTGTTCCCCTATAAATTATTTAATTCCCTAGGTCTTTCATTTTTAAATAATTAAGCGAATTCTTTTTAAAAATATAAATAAAAGGTTGATTTAACTACCTATTTACTAACAACTAACCGGCTTTAAGATAATAAAAGTAGGCGAAATACAATGTCAACTAAAGAGAACTCTGTTTCAATATATTTACCAAGTTGGTTGTTGAAAAAAAATGCTCAATTTTTTTCCCAAGTTTATTGTAAACTTGTTTAGCATGATTTGATTAGCCGCCTTTACCAACGGCTTACTTGTATAGAAGAGCAATTTAATCGTAAAAATATTAAACAAGTTACTAGTTCCGCCTGCCACAGATCGCATATCACTGAACAACTAGTCGATTCGCTTAAGACGCAGCCATAGCAGCGATCTTTAATTGGAAATCGTCTAAACAAGGAATTCTAGGGGGTACAAGCAACTTTAACGATAGAGATGATCGGCCTGCAAGTTGGAGGCAATCTCGGACTCCCACTTGTCGCCGTTGCAGAGTAGCTTCTCCTTATTGTAGAGCAGCTCCTCGTGCGTCTCTGTGGAGAATTCGAAGTTGGGACCCTCGACGATGGCGTCCACAGGGCAAGCCTCCTGCGGGGTAATAAATAAGTATATTAGTAACCTGAGACTGGCTCAAAATTATGTATCCACACAACCTGACAGAATCCACAGTATATGCACTTAGTCATGTCAATATCGTAGCGTGTGGTGCGCCTGCTGCCGTCCGCTCGTTCCTCAGCTTCGATGGTGATTGCCTGGGCAGGACAGATGGCCTCGCAGAGCTTGCAGGCGATGCAGCGCTCCTCGCCGCTCGGATAGCGCCGCAGAGCATGTTCACCGCGGAATCGCGGGCTCAGCGGTCCCTTTTCGAAGGGGTAGTTGATGGTTGCCGGCTCCTTAAAGATGTGCGCCAGGGTAACGGCAAATCCACGGAAGAGTTCGCCAAAGAACATGGTGGACGCAGCCCGATCTGTGATGTCCGAGAACTCCATGCTTTGCTCCTTGTTGTTTACATACACATAGCCCTTGGGAACCTCGACGATATCTTTCGGTTCCGTGCGTTTGGCGGCAAAAAGACAGGCTCCCTGGCTGCCAAACATGCGCTGACCTGTGGGGAAAACATTTTGCCATTAAATCACATTTAAATATTTAAGGGTATTTTGTAAATAAGCCAATTTAGTCCTTTGTTTTGCTATGACATAAGCTTACATAACCTCATTTGGAGCAGTTTCTACGGAAAATTCGGATTTTCCGGGAGTCAAGAGGTAATGGGGAAGCTGAGCACCTACCATTGCGCGATGCGGTGAAAATTCGCATAGTAAGCGACATGTTTGCGGCCGAAATTAAACTAAAGTTGCCAAAAAATTGTTTTGCTATTGAATTTCCCCGAACAAGTTAGAGCTGGAACAGTTTCGACAGTCGGCATATTCGATATGAGAAAATTTTGTCTAACTAATATTCGATACATATTGTTTTAATTTTTGTTACGGAAAAAACATTACATATTTTGAAAATTAACGGTCATGAACAATAATAAAAAAAGCGGAGCTTACGCTATTTGTTCTAAATAAGCCCTAGTTTAACCAAATAGTCGAATATTTGCGCCGATATATTGATTTATTTTATATATGAATATTCCTAACATAAAGCTTCCAACACCGATAACGGGACTGTCGATCTTATGCCACCTTTGACGCCAAAAGTACCACCTCTACAATTTACCGTTTGACTTGACGCGACGCGGGCTTGTAAAATTTTGGGTTGCAGCGTTAAGCTTAAAAATATAAGAAATGGATCCAGAAATAATGGACTTCTTCGACTTTTCGAAGGAATTTAAGCGCGAAATTGCTCCACAGGGATTTCTTAGTAGCGATCCGAGCAAGATGGCAGTGGATACCACCGATTCTAAAGTGCTTAAACGCGAAGTAATCGGAAAAGATTATGTCGAAAAAATCGTGGAACAGGAAAAGCAGCGAATGAACCGAGTAAGAAAAATGTTTGTGTCAGCAGTTTTGTGTGTTTACATATATGTCATTTGATATAGTCGCGGCGCGACGAGGCCGGTCCAAGCAGGCGCAATCGCACGCTGGACGACATAGATACCGATGAAGAAGCAGAAGAGTTCGAAATCCGCCAGGATGAAGAGTATTACAAAAAGTATCGATTCAATCTTAATCGTGACAGAAATTTACCGATCTACGCCAAGCGGGAGGAAATCGTGGCTGCAATCAAATCTAATCCTGTTGTAATTCTCAAGGGCGAAACGGGATGCGGGAAGACTACGCAGGTAAGTGTTGCCAGGTTAAAAACAAAAATTTGTTTACAGAATTTATAAAGCCCAGCAAGCTTTATTTGCTGTGGTAATAAATTTGGCTGGACTTCATGTGGAATATTTTGTACATTTTTCCTCAAAAATGTGCAAATATAAAGTAGTTGCACACTTTGTGTTTTAAACTATTAAATATATTTAATTTAAATAGTATATTGGTAGGATAAATTCAGTCAAAATCGCCAATGAAGAATCATTTTTGATTCATGTTGTAAATGCCTCCAAATTAAGACGCTTACACGGTTGAGTTTTTGTAGGAATCATATATTATTTTCTATGGTCTACGGAGAAGCCGCGTTTGCTATCAAAGCATATCAAAGGGATCTTTGACCCCCGCACAGCAACTTTTGTTTACAAATCTTTAAGTGATAACAAGGTCATTTGGGTCTGACCTACACTCGCTTATAAATAGTATTTTATGGCGCAAACCTAATACATACACATGCGCATAGAGCACATTACTGTTCATCTGAACACATGTTATATATCTTGCCGTTCTTCATGTTTTTAAACGAAAATCAACTACTTTAAACTGTAAATAAATATTTATTAAAATTATTTAAACTATAATAACGTTGACTTCGCTACTTTAATTTAGGATCCCAGTAGTTCTTGAACCTCTTCTTCGGTAACGTCTTCTTCCCGCTCTTCATCATCTTCCTCGTTGCTGTATTCATCGAGCTCGTATTCTCTCTGTACATCACCGGGCAGTTGCCGTTGGAAAACGGTGGCCGATGACATCCTGCGTTGATAGGCTTCAATGACTTCAAGTTCCACTTCGAGCTCCTCCGCTGGTTGCTGCGGCTCGATTTTTTCGTCGCCGTACATGGCCTTGTTTCGCACCCTTTGGCGCACTTCTAACTGATTGCTTCTCGAAGTTGTGGGCTGGTCTCCATCTCCGGGAGTCTTTTTAGCCCCTAGTATTGTTTGGATATCGGCGAAGACCTCGCGCAGTTGGCCAAAGATTTGGGTTCGCGGAAGGGCCAGTTCCTGCCCAGTCAGTTTGTCCTTTTGAGCATTGTAGGCTGACTCCAAATCACATAATGGCTGACTGGCCAGGTCCAGGGTACGCAGGCCCTCCAGTTCGTAGGTGAGACTGACTGTATTGGAACGTAATTGCTTCTGCAACTGGGCACTGTTCCTTTGAATTTTGGCACCCGCAACGATCTCCAATCGATCATAATCCACCAGATTGTCCAATCCCTGGCAGTAATCTAGCGCTGTAAAGCGAAAGGCCTGCGTTTGAACGAGTTGCCAAAACATGTACGCCACCTGGTGCGAATCCTTTTTCTCGGGACCGTCCTTGCGCAGTTCCAGGGCGTAGTCCGTTAGTTCCTGCCAAGTACGAGGTGAGACCTCGATCTTCACAAAGTTGTGAGTGGGTTGCTTATTGTAGATCACGTAGAGCAGATAGAATCCGGCGATTCTTTGTGCACGAGATGCCGCAAAGATGTCTCCAGTGGTGCGTCGTGAACAAGACAGCCTTTTGGCCACGTGCAGTGCCGCAAATGTGGTGGCTATTACCTCGGCGTAGTTCGACTGGGCCGTGAAGAGGTGCTGTAGCTGCATTTCTCGCCAGCACCGGCAAAATACCTCGAACTCGCATGCTTCGCCATCGTTGACCAATCTCTGGAATCGTTGTACCAATTGCCAGCAGTCTTCGTAAACGTGCAACTCCATTCTGTCTCTAATTTAATGTATTTTTGTATGCATTTTAAACAAAACCTGAGCAGGACTAAAAATGTAAACAATCTGATTCGCCGGCTAAAATGTTTTACAGCACTGGCAAGAAACTATCGAAGAACCGATAACAGTTGGTTTAATCGGATTTTAAAAGAACGCGCTAAATTAAACCAAAAGAAGTTACAAGTTCAAGATCTAAAATTTAATAACTAGAACAATATTTACTATTAAATTTTGAGGATGTTAGTATTTAAGATTAATTAGTCACATGTGACCTATTGCTGATTATCGGAATTTTACTGTAATAAGCTATTTATTTGTTTTAGGTGCCTCAATACATTTTGGACGAAGGTTATAAGAGCGGTCAATATTGCAACATTGTGGTGACCCAGCCCCGTCGCATAGCCGCTATCTCCATAGCTAATAGGGTGTGCCAGGAGCGCCAATGGCAGCCGAACACCGTTTGCAACTTTCAGGTGGGCCTTCATCGCCCGAAGAGTCTGGAGGAGACCCGCCTACTGTACTGCACCACCGGAGTGCTGCTGAACAACCTGATTCTCAACAAGACCCTCACCCACTACACTCACATCGTGCTGGACGAGGTGCACGAGCGAAATCAGGAAATGGACTTCCTAATGATTCTGGTTCGTCGCTTGCTGGCCACCAATTCCCGTCAAGTGAAAGTTATCCTAATGTCGGCCACTATTGATACTCGGGAGCTGCGGGACTATTTTACAACGACAAACTCGATTCCGCCGGTAATCAGCGCCAGTCATGGGCGTAAATACTCCATCGAGAAGTTCTACCGCGACCAGATGGCCCACATTAAGTGGAAGCCAGATGCGGGCGAAGAAGATTTTTATCCACGTATAAACGAGGATGGCTACAAGGCGGCGATGAAAATCATTATGGTTATTGACAACATGGAGCGGAATGGAGAAACGCAGTTGACTTACGATGAAGCTCTGCGATATGGAGCTGTGCTCGTTTTTTTGCCAGGTGTATTGGAGATCGACACCATGGCAGAAAGTATTACTTCTATGACAAAGGATGAGTAAGCAAACGGTTTATATTTAATTTAGAATTGTATGTGTTGTTTTTCTTTATTCCTTTCACGAAGCAAGCATTATTATTTGGTAACAATGTTATCTGTTCTGATTACTTTACAGTCCAAAAATGAAGGTCTTCATTGTGCGCTGCTTCTCTCTGATGACCCCGGAAAATCAACGGGATGTGTTTCAGCCACCACCTGTTGGCTACCGCAAGATCATTCTCACAACGAATATCGCTGAAAGCTCCATTACGGTGCCGGATGTCTCCTACGTCATTGATTTCTGTCTCACCAAAGTGTTGGTCACCGACTCGGCCACCGGTTTCTCTTCCCTTCGCCTAACTTGGGCCTCCAAGGCGAATTGTCGCCAGCGTGCCGGACGTGTTGGGCGTCTGCGAAGCGGTCGTGTCTACCGAATGGTCAAAAAGTCCTTTTACCACCAGAATTTGTCTGAGTACGGAGTCCCAGAAATGCTGCGATTGCCCTTGCATTTTTCGGTGCTCAAGGCCAAGGATCTGGACATGGGTTCTCCGGTTGAAATACTGGCTTTGGCTATGAGTCCGCCCAATCTTTCGGACATACAAAACTCAATACTGTTGCTTAAGGAGATCGGTGCACTCTTTCCAACAGTAGATGGCATCTATAACGAGTTGGATGGCGATATTACCTTCTGGGGCACAATCATGTCTCGCCTGCCCTTGGACCCGCGCTTGAGCCGCCTCATCATCCTGGGCTATGCGTTTAACTTACTCGAAGAAGCGATTATTATTGGTAAGTGAGAGTTCCATGATTGATGTAAGGTAGTTTATATATCAAAACTCCATGTTAAGTAAACTTAAATTTATAAGTTTATATTGAGTTTATTTTTAATTGTTTTGCAGCTGCTGGCTTATCGATGCGTGGCTTGTATTTGGACGAAGCTCGTGGGCAACAAGGGGCAGGATTCGAGTCATTTTGGATGCACTACATTTTTGCCGATGGAAGTGGCTCTGACTTGGTGGCCATTTGGCGCGTTTATCTGGTAAGTGAATACCGTTTTAAAGATTTCACTTAAAGCCAAACCCTTTTCCGCAGACCTACTTAAACATGATCGAAGTTGGCCACCAGCAGGAAGAGTCTGCTAATCGTTGGGCGAAGCGTTTCCATGTCTCCTTGCGATCGCTAAAGGAGATGCACCTGCTGGTGCAGGAGCTACGCTTGCGTGTTTCGAGAATTGGCCTGGTTCCGTTCACAGTTGATCCCAGTCAGGTGATGGGAGATCGTGAAAGAGGAATCATCTTTAAAGTGATAATTGCCGGTGCATTTTATCCGAATTATTTCTTGCGTTCCAAGTTGTCGGTTGCGGAACCGGATCGTAATATGTACCAGGTGATTTCGGGGAATGATCCCTGTCGCACAGTATATTTTACCAATTATAAGCCCGGGTATATGGGTGAACTGTACACTAGGCGCATAAAGGAGCTTTTTCTAGAGGCTAAAATACCACCGGAAAACATTGATGTTACCTTTCAACCCGGATCGCAAAAGGTGTTTGTCACCTTCAAGCAAGACGATTGCAATGCAGACGCAACTAAACTCGTGACCGTGTCGGGCAGAATTCAAAGTGAAGTTTACAAGGCGGTTCGAATGAGAATTGACCGGTTGCAACGCCCGCTGCGTATTATGGAGTGAGTTGGCTTTATTCTTATAAGCATTCGTGTTGTATAGAGGCTTCGTTTTTGTCGATTTCAGTCAGACTAACTTTATGAATTACGTTCAGCAGCGAAAGATTGGAGAGTTAATCGAGGGACAATGGGTCCCTCCCACAAAACCGTTGAACGTAGAGCTGCTTGCCTTGCCATCTGTCTACGACAAGACAGTTACTGGCTTGATTACATGCGTAAGTAAACTAATGACTACCGTCAACGTTTTCTGAGTTTCTCCTTTTAACCCATAGATTGTTAGCTGCGGCAAGTTCTACTTTCAACCTCAATCCTTTGCTGAGTGCATTCGAAACATGTCCGAGATACTCAATGCCCCACAGCAGTTGCGAAATCACGTCTTAAACGCTGCGGCCCTCAGAAAAGGCCAGATGGTGCTGGCAAAGCGGAATAGTTATTTCCAACGCGCCACGGTGATTCGCCCAGACAACCAGAGCAATCGCCAGCCGAAGTTTTATGTTCGCTTCATCGACTATGGAGACTGCTATTTGTTGCCCATGGAGCAGATACGTCTGATGCCAGAGGAGCTAATGGACCAGTATGGAGACTTGCCACCACGTGTCTTCGAGTGCAGACTGGCGCTGGTGCAACCGTCTATGGTAATCAGCACGAGTAATCGGTGGCCCAAGAAGGCCAACGAAATGCTTAGCTCGGTGGCCAAATGCGGTCGTGTCGAGATTGAGGTGTATTCGCTGTACAACAATGTGGCAGCCGTTCTCATCCATATGCGTGATGGCCTGCTCAACGAAAAGCTGGTAGAGCTTAAATTAGCTCGTCGCGCTGAGGAAGACTTCATGTCTCGTCAGGATCATGACTTCCGAGAACAAAAACAGGAATCTGCCCGTTATTCGAGTTCGGCGGAGCGACAGCGGGTCAATGAGGAGTATCTGCGCTCCGTTCAGTTACCCCAAGATCTTGATTTACCTCCGCCTCCGATGAATTTGTGCAACACTATGGTGATGCTGAAGGGACCCTACAGTCCCTTGGAGACCTCCATGTACTCCGTCATTCGAGTGGGTGTCTGGAAAACGGTGAATATCGATAGTGGCTCGGTAAACTCGGTGCTTCTCGATGCGGATCCCCACGATCAACACGATCAAATGATTGTGGCCCACACAACCGTGGAGAACTCCAACGGCCAGAACCTGATAGTCCGTGGAACCACTTTAATGCCCAACATACATGGACTTGCAGCACTTATGGTAATGCTGTTCTGTCCCACCATGCAGATCAAATGTAACAAGGAGGGCACCAGATACGTGTCCATACTGGCGGGGCTAGGCTGTGACCCGGAAACCACAGAGCCTTATTTTGAGGAACACGATATGGTGATTAATCTGGACGTTAACATTTTGGAAGATGATGTTAATTTGGTAATGAAGTTGTGGTATTTTGGGTTTGGTAAACATTTAATGACACTTCCTAAAATATATTTCAGATAAACCAAATGCGCTATTTGATAGATAGCGTATTTTTCAATTTCAAAGACGAAAATTATCCAGCGGTCAGCGCTGGAGAACGTGTTAATATATACACTCAGCTGCGTCATCTAATAAATCGGTAAGATTGCAACGATTAGAGTTTTTTTTATCTATTCTTATCCTATATTTTTTTTAAAGTCTTTTGAACAAGGATCGAAGTTATATTGAACGTTGCACGAGCAACGCTGATAATTTGTGGGATAGGGTCGATGATCTGCCAATACAGGCTGAGCCATATGGTAAACGGTCCATTTTTCCAATGCACACTGTACCGGAGCTTCAAGAGGAGGACATGAGCAATTTAATGCAGTTGGTGGAGAACTGCAAGATGTTGTATGAGTGGCGCAACTTGTAAGAAATGGCATTTCATTGATTAGAGCAATTATTATTATTTATTTATAAATATTTTTTAAATTGCAGCGCGGGGGTTTTACAGCCGTTGACATGCAAATTGTGCAACCATCGTTTGGAATCGGTTCCCCAATTGCGAATGCACCTTCTAACTCAATTGCATCGCGATCGCGAAAAGCAGATCGATTTTCACAGGGACTAATCTTATTGACATCTGTTTAGTTGGATAATATAGCCATCCTAAGTTTAAAATCATTTTCTAAAAAAAATGAATACTATTGATGTATAATAATTGTTTCCATTTTCATGAAAACTCCTATTACGCTAAAGAAAGTGACAATGAATAGATCACAATTATTTTAATTTAACTCTTCTTCGTCATTGAAATGATCTTAATGATTTATCATCATTTTTTTTTATTTGTAATCTTGGAACTTCAACTTCTGTTAAATCTTTCTACAAAAAGCACCAAATACAGTGACAAGAAAAACCCACTAATTGATGTCAGTTCTTTGAAACTTGCATTCTATTACCAAACATTTACCATACAACTTCTTTAAATAATAATCCAAGCCCTGGGAATTGCATGTTCTCCCTCCGCTGGGCTCCACTTCTCTTTTATTTTAGAATAAACTCACACATTAAACTTATGCAACTACAGCTACGTTGGAGGAATTCTGCAGCGGAACGGGCGTCGGAGTGCTCTCCTGATGCTCGCAGATCGTGTAGTTTTGCATGAGGTTGAGTGGCTGGCTACAGAGCCCGCACATCTGGTGCTTGTAAACGCCGTAGATCTCAAAGTTAAGGATGTTGTACAGGTCAAACTGGATGGTCGAATCCAGCTGCGTGCACTCCACAATCAATATATTCTGTTCGTTCAGTTCCACGCTGAATATGAGGTAAAATTAAATAAGAGGTGAAACAACTAGTTTTGTATTATGATTGTGCGTACTTACCGGAAATCATAGTCACTGGTTGCGAAGGGCCACTGGAATGGCTTCTGGCGCAAATCGTGCGGCGTTTGGTCCGGGTTGAAATATATGATCACTGGCTTGTCCGAAGGCTGGCTGCTGTTGTCTGTTCGGGGGTAAAAATTGAAGTAGAACTGCCCGATGTGGACGCGCAAGCCGTAGTTTCCGGGTCCTTCCGCAGGTGATGGGATTACGAAGACTGCCATCTTTGGCGTGGGCGAACAGTCGGCCACCAGGAGGGTGAGGCATTCCGGTTGCACAGCATAGTCTCGCAGATCAACTAAGTAATCGTCGAAGGTATTGATCAGACCATTTATCACTGAGCAGGAACGTTTGAGTCCCGAAACGTAGGTGAGCTCGTGGGAGGCATCGAACTTGGAGTCCAGTTTGTACAGGAAGGGGATTTGATGGAAGCGCCACTTGGCTCCGTTAACTTCGACAGCCAACCGGAACTGGTCTTGAGGCGTGTGCATTGAGATATTAATCTCTTGACTCATGTGCAGACTGTCCACTTTGTCGGCGGATAAGGCGGAGACCAGATGGTCCAATCTGTTGGACCACAGTTCAAACCAGGCGGGCATCTAAAAGGGATTACGGTGAGATGTTATAAAACTTTTAATTTATTCAAATATTTATTCTATTCTTACATTATTAAACTTCAGGTCCATGTCGTACTGCGTTATAGAGGTAAAGTTCTCAAAGTTGCTGCGCTTGCAATACTTGGACGTGGGAATGGGCGAGAACTTGAGCACCTCCTTGGGACAGAAGTCGGTGTCCGTCAGTGAGATCTTGTTGGAGCGCAGGAAGGCACGGGCGTGCTCTGAGGGCTGCAACAAGGAGGGCGGTTAATTTCAAAGAAATTCACTTTCTTGGCATCCACAACATTCACACTTACCCCAGCTCTAGCCGCAAATTGCACAGTGGAGCCCTTCTCCGGGCACTCGCCCTCCTCCGTGGCCAAACCGAACGCCACGTTGCCATTGAGAGTGTGGGGTCGCTTGGTGAACACCAGCGGTTCATAGGTCAACTTGGTGCAGGCCTAAACAAATAATGCAAATGAGTTAAAATCTACAGAGGCGGTGAGTAAAAAACTCTTGAATGTACTTTTGTAGCAATTTTAGTAATAGAATTAAGAATAAGAGTTAAGTTTGCTTTATTTGCATGCTTTATTTCAAAGCTGCTTTGAACAAACTTGAGCATTGTAATTATTTTACATGAAATATGACCCTATTTTGCGGCCTAAGGAATTAATTGCCATTATATTCTTTGTCGTAACTGTGTGGTTGTGTATAATAAGCAAGCAAGTCAACGGTCGGCTTGAGACTCGGGCCAAGTCAAGTGCTCTCATTGGGCGGCGGGCGTGACACCCTGTAAGCATTTTGTGGGTACCCTGCTGGCCACCATCATAGAGACAAGATATTGTGGACTCAGCTGCTCGGTGGAGGTTCCAGTCGTGTGGAATGGGGCACATTACCATGACGAAATAGCAGACAACAGAGCCACAACAACTGCGGCAACGATTAGCGGGCCTACACACATCCTGACTGACTGTTCCGTCCCTTTCCGTCCGTGCCTGCGTGCCAGGTTATTACACGGACCAAAACCAAACGCCCACCCACCCGACCAACAACTCGAGCAGTTGCCGCAATTGTTGGCCCACATTCGTGGGTTGTTTGCGTCCCGGAATCGAGACTGAGGAGAGCCGAGAGTGGCAAGCGGACTGCTGGCAGGCAGGCCTGGCGGGGAACGTCGCCCCGTTTGATCAATACGGATTCGAGTGAGCTCAGTAGAAGGCAGCCAGTTACGCTACTGTTCGGACGAATTTCTCCCTTCGCACATTTTTTTTGGGAATAAATTTCAATTTTTCATTTCTTTTGTACGGGCTTAAAAATCATTAAATAGCCCAAGTGCTGTCGAATCATTTTCGGGCCCGCCAATCAAGTGCATTCACTTTGCGTTGTGTTTATAAATTTATGTTTACTTGAATTTCATTTGGACACCACAAAATGACATCGGTAAGTCGAATACCATTATGCCAATCAATCGAATCTGAAGAGGTATTCAATTGGCTACACAGATCGAATCGAAACGAGTGCAATATCGAAAGTATCTGGAACGTGCCGGGGTCATCGATGCCCTGAGCAAGGCTCTGATCAAGCTTTACGAGGAGCAGAACAAGCCGGAGGATGCCATCCGCTTTGTGCGCAAGTTCATGTGCGAGAGCTGCCCGGATGATGCCCAGTACGATGTGATGAAGAATGACCTGGAGGAGGCCAAGACGCACATCTCGAAGCTGGAGCAGGAGCTCGAGCGACTTCGCGGCCAAATGTATGTTCTTTAGGTTGCCATTTTAAAGTTCTACTAACACATCTTCTTTTTTAAAACCAACAGCAAGAAGTCACCGGAGGAGTACCAGGAGCTCACCACAGAGGGCTACAAATCGCTTATGGACGATGAGGAGAACGTTGCCTCGCTGCTGCGCAAATACCTTACTCCAGAACTTTTGGAGGAGTACATGCTGGTCACCACTCCTGCGCCAGTGGACGCGTACCTATACGACTGCGCTGTGGCCGGATTTGAGCACCATGAGGCTCCCGTGGGAGTTTACGCGGCGGATGCCGACAGCTACGACGTCTTCAACAAGCTCTTTGACCCGATCATTATGGACTTCCATGGTCAGATGGACAACGAGAGCGATGTGCTGCAGAAGGATCCAGACTTTGGCAACGTGGATGAGATCGAGAATCTCGATCCGGAGCGCAAGTACATCATGTCCGCGCGAATCCGATTGGTTCGCAACATCGAGGGACTGCCATTCTTCCCGAAGCTTACCGAGAAGCAGTTTATCGAGGTGGAGGAGAAGGTGCGCTCCGCCACGGAGACCATGGATGGCGAGCTAATTGGCTCTTACTTGACGATGGGGGACATCGATGCCGAGACCCAAGCCGAAATGGTGAAGCGTCATATACTCTTCCAGCGGGGCGACCCACAGCTGACCACCGCCGGCTGCTATCGCTTCTGGCCGACGGGTCGCGGTGTCTACCATAATCCCGCCGAGACCTTCGTGATTTGGGTGAACCGACAGGATCATGTGCAGATTATGTCGATGGCGCAGTGCGGCGACTTGGGCGATGTCTACAATCGCCTGGTCAACGGTCTGTCGGAGCTGGAGAAGACGCTGACCTTTGCGCGCCATCCTCGTTATGGAAACCTTTCGGCCTGCCCCACCAATCTGGGCACCACCCTGCGTGCCTCGGTGCACATCCGCCTGCCGCTGCTCAGCAAGGATCCCGACCGTCTGCTCGCCCTTGCCGAAGAGCTGCAGCTGCAGGTGCGCAGCACGGATGGCGGCGAACTGGTCAACGTCGAAGATGGCGTTATGGACGTATCCAATAAGCGAAAGCTCGGCTTCACCGAGTTCGAACTGGTCAAAACCCTGCAGGATGGCGTTGTGGCACTGATCAATGCCGAGGAGGAGCTCGAAATAGCTGGACAGGAGGGTTAGAGCAACACATTGCACCACACATTTTTGACAGCCCGTGAACGTACCCATATCAATATTACCCACAAGTACAGACAGACGATAGATAAACAGGAGCAACGAATCTTTGGTTAAATAAATTTGTGCCGTAGTCCCAACGAATCACTTACCTTCCAGTCGTCTTCATCGTCCTTGGAATTGCGCTGAATTTGGCCGGTCACCTTAAACCAGTTGGATTTGGTCGAAGCCTGCACGTCCACGGTGATGTTCCACCTGTGGAGAGCATCCGTTTGGTGTGTTCCGTTCACAACGTGGGCTTCTTCCATGTGGTCTGTGTGCTCCAACGTTAGGCCAATCTGCTTGCCCATAAGATCCGCCGTCTTCAGCACATCCTCGGTACAGAAGTTGCCCTCGATCTGAAAGGATTCGGGGGATTAGTTATATATTTATGGGTTAAATTTGAATTTCTTACTCTGGTGGCCTTTTCGTTGTACATGAGCATGGTAAAGTTCCGATCGTGGCCCAGGTGGATGGAACTGAGCTGAGTAAAGCCGAATATGTACATTAAGGCGCTGACCACCATGTTGCCGGAGAAGCCACTGCAATGAGGAATATAATTAGATTAGAAGTCAAATGGTTTGGTGGAGATGAAGTTACTTCTCTGTAAATTCTGACTTGAGTAGCATTCCTCTGTACTTGATAAGCTCGTTGAGATTCGTGCTCATGCCCAGACGCACTCCCAAATCCGGCATTGTATAGCTAAAGAGTTGCACCTAAAATGTAGTGAGGGTTATTTTCTCTTAGCTATCCAAGTTCTAAATATGTACTAGTTTTACTAACTATTAAGTTCTGTGCAATATTATAGCTTGTATATTTTTCAATATATAATGAATTCTTATATTTGAATCCATGCAAAATTTAATTTGTTATTACTTCTCTCACAATGTATAATAAAAGAATAATTTCCCTTCAAAGCACTCACCACATCGTTTCGCCTTTCGGGCAGCATAATCTCCTCGAAGGGCACTGTCGCTGTCTTGGTGATCAGACCCCTGGTCCTGGTCACCGAGCGCGACTTGAAGGACAGACCGCTGGTCAGGTTCTGTGGCCTGGAGAAGGAGTAGCGCCTGCACTTGCTGCCGCTCTCGTTCAGATGCAGCTCACTGCTGAAGGGGATGTAGATGAGGAAGCCCTGCTCCCGGTTGATCTCATGGTCCAGGTTGAGGAACGGGTTGTAGCTGCGACTGCGCACCGAGGCGTATGACGAGTACCGAGCGTCGATCTCCAGCGTGTGCTTGGTTATCGGCGAACTGCGCTGCTCCGTGATGTTGCCACGCAGCGAGGTCAGCACGGTGGTCTGCAGCAGGACATCGGAGGAGGTGCCCAGTACAGTGGGCACGGAGTAGCGATTCATGAACGGCCATCGCACCGTCTGCATGTTGATGTGGCTGTCCGTCCGGATGATCTGCTGCATTCGCTCCAAAACTGCGGAAACTGTTTAGCAATTGCTACTGGCTGGGGTAACCAAACTTACTGTTGTCGTAGGTCAGCTGCTGGAACATCCGCTGGTTGAGGTAGTAAGACAGCACCGTCTTGCCCTCCATCTGCAGGATGAACTCCAGGTGCAGGTCCTTCGAGTTGATGATCGGAGCCTGCAGCATGGCCAGGAGTGTCTTGAGGCTCTTGAAGGTGAACGGATCGCTGCTGTTGCGCGACTGCATCTTGTTCAGGATGGTGTCCGGCAGACCACGTGCCTTGATGTACAGCTAAAAATGGTAAGGAATATTGTTATCACTAAATGTTTTCAAATCATTTATAAATTTCAATGGTTATACCCACCGCCAGCTGACCCGTGAATTTGCCCAGAGCTTCGGTGTCGAACTTGAAAAATGCCACCACTGGCATATCCGACTTGGGATCGCCCACAAGGAAGACCTGCATCATTGCGCCAATTCCGAACTTGGAGTCCCGATAGTCGAAGATGTAGTTACCTGTGACCCAGTAGCGTGGCTCCGGTTTCTTGGGCAGGTGACGGTGCATATAGGACAGAAGGCGGCGTCTGCAATCAAGGATTTCAGACTAGGATGGATGAGGTAAGTGAGTAGGTGGACTTACAAGTGTTGGTAGCAGGGATAAGTTGTCTCGGAAATGCTCGTCACCGTTGTCCTGTAGTAGTTGATCATATGGGGGTCCGTTTCGCTCTGGATGATGCGATGGATGCTGATCAGACGGGCAGCCGTAGGATTGGAGATCAGTAGCAGGGTTACGGCGGCAACTCGAAGCTCCAAGCTGGCGTTGCGCGACTCAAAGATCGGCCAGTAGACCTCGTATATCCGCTCTGCTCGCCGATCTGCCAAGGCAAGAGTCGTCCAGGCGGCCTGAAACTTGAGGTCCTCGTGCTCATTGGGATCCTGAACGATGGGCTCCAGATAGTTGGCGACGTTGCCCAGCTGCAAGTTGTTCAGACCCTGCAAGTACAGCATCTTCTGGTCGAAGTCGCGATCGTCTACAATATTAAGTTAAATACAGGGATTAATTAATGGGTTAAATAACGTTGAATTCTTCGTAAACTTACTTAAATAGGCGTTAAAGTACTTTTGCACGTACTCCTCGAACTTCTCCTTGTCAATTCCCTTGGCCACATAGACATTGTGGACGAGGGTGGCGAAGCTGAGGATCGCGGCCTGCCGCACATCCGGACGACCTGGTCCGATATTGAGGAAGCCCTCGCACTTTTGCACCAGCTCAGCCGAGAGTTCAAAGATGTGGAAGGGCATGGGAATGAGCAGTTGCACCGCCACCTGCGGCTTGGTCAACTTGTTCAGCACAAGATGGTGGGTGAGAAAAACGGAGGCTTTGGTTCCGATGCGCGGAATGATCTCGTGGAAGATGTTGCGGATGGTCTCCTGGCGGTAGGAGGTGCCGATGTCCACCTCCCTGTAGAGTTTTGTCAGCGAATTAAAGTCCATTTCGCTGAGCAGCTTGATCACATCGGATAGCGTGGAATCGTATGGTTCGGAGAACTTGAACTCAGTGGTCTCGAGACCCTCGGCCAAGCTGTCTAGAAGTGCGCCCGCCTGTACAATCAGTGTCTCCTGCTGCTGGGGATTTCGACCGCCAGTGGGATCACTGGGATCCAGTGGTTGCAACTCCAAATGAGAAGGCTCTGCTGCCATTGAGGTTTCAATATCGATGGGATTGTCGATGGGAGTCTCGTTGATAAAGTTCAGCAGCAGCTCCGAGTTGATAAACTGCGCCTCGCCCGTCGACTCGAAGGTGTGGATCAGGGTGGTGCCCTTGGAGTGGGCCATACTCAGGAAGTATCCCGTCTCGTTGTGCGGCAGCATTCCATACACAGCCTCGTTGCCAATGATTACGCTCTTCTGGTGGTCGAACTCACAAGTGTTTGGCGGCACGTTGCTCCGGGTGATGTGCACCGCCTCCGAGTAAGGAATGCAGGTCTTCAGCTCTGGCGTCTTGCGGATGGAGATATAGTTGGTCCTGTTGGACACAAAGTACTCCGTACGACAGGTGCCGTGAATGCCAAGCTGAAAAGGAAAAATTAAGAAGTTATTTAGGAGTATAATACATTCCACTATGAACTAGATAACAATTGTCCCGAAAAGTAGGCAACAATTCTTAAGGGGGAAATTAGGATCAATTTTTAAAAAGCTAGAGGGGATTATGAAGATATTAATATAGAATAAATACACTCGTAAAATAAAACAACACAAAAGTAAAAATAACAAATATATAATTTCAATGAAAAAGAGCTAATGACATACCTCATCCACGACGAATGCCCCGCTGGACTTCATCTGGAACTGCAGCACCGACGCAATGGACCGCTTGAAGTTCATGCTCCATATGGGATCGGCCTCCTTGAAGACCACATGCGAGATGGCGCCCTCCTTGGTGAGGACGATCTTGAAGGGCTTGTAGGGCGGGTACATCTCCTTGTTCTGCAGGAACTTCTCGCCGGAGTTGTTCAGCGTTACATCGTCGATGACCAACTGCAAGTGAGAGCTGAGGGATTAGCCGGGAAAGCCCTGCAATAATGTAGTAATCTGCGATCGAGCGATCGGGTCGAGCCCAACTGAACCGGCTGATAAGCCGCCGTTTATCTGGCAAACAGAAATTAGTCAGTCAGATCGGCCGGCTCTCATATGGCGCACACATGCCTCTTCCTTCCAGATGCCTGATAACGATGGCCACTTACTCCTAGAGAGCCGCGCTCTCAGTCAAAACAATCAGGGCTGATTAACGAGAGGAAGGGAATGTGTGTACGAGTATATTGGCATTATCTGTGGGGGCTCAATGAAAGAAGTTCACAGCCGAGTTCAGTTCATTGTGAGCACTCCGCCGAGCTCTTTCCGACTCGCTCTCGGCATGGTTAAATTGTCTTTAATTCATCTGCGAATTCTTCTTGGTCTGCCGAGAAGAAGTCGCTGCGAATGGGAATGCGGAGGGAATCGAGATGGAGAATGCGCCGATTGAATCGTACAAATTGATAATGAAATCAATAAATTGACTTGATTTTCCACAATTGATTTATGTGTGCGTCCCAGTATGTACGCGCTGCGAACATTTAGTGCCTAAGTGATCGCGCTTTTTTTTTGGTATAAACAAAAATATTATTCCGAAACGGAATCGGATTAATCATCCGCCGGGTCGCCGGGGATCAGCCAAAACGTTTCCTAAGAATCTATGAGAACCTGTTGAAACCTGATCCTGATGGACAACTTACCGCTGCAGCCATGACCAGTTCGCTTTGCCGCTGGAGCGTCAGCTTGCCCCGCACTATCCATCCGGTGGTGGGCGGTGCAGCGTGTCCCTCGTCCTGGGGCTTCGCGCCCACCAGGACATTGCCCACGTACTCGTAGAGCATCTGTTTGTTGAGGCCAATGATGCTGAAGGCATGGCCGGCGTCAAAGATCAGGAATAGATCTGCCGGATAGATAGATATGGTTGGGGAAATTGAACTTCAATTCGATTAATGCTGCTGCCGCTGTTGCTGCTGCTGCTGCTCCACAGTTCACCCGCCTTTTACCCCTCTTTTTGCTATGTCGCATTCTCGCGAATGGGCAATAAACTCTTCAATTATCAATTGAATTTCTTATATGTACTAAATGTGCATGTGTATATATGTATTATATATATATAAGCTTTAATCAAGGTTGCTCCACGGATTCTTTTTTTGATGCGCGCTCGTCAATGAACAATTGCGTCATGGTCTTTTATTAGTTTCTGATACAGTTGGGATTATCAACTAGGTTACTCTCACGTACACACAAACACGGAACACTTGAGTCGCCTCATGGCCTGCTGCTTCCTTCCGAGGTCGTGGCACTCGGCTTCACACAGATTTCCCGACGGTTTTCACTTGCCGCACAGATTTCGATTCAGTGTTGTAATATAAGGGAATCTATATATTTATAATATATATTATATATATATGCAAACGCGACTATGTATTATCAGATGTTTCAAAGAAGCCGCCGCTTTTCCTTCTTTATCGCCAACGCGTCTAATTCCCGAAACACAGCTCAACGTCTTCTCGATTCCCAATCCAAACTCAGACTGAGGCTGCGAGCGGACTTAACAGCCGGGGATTGCTGGCCTTGCTGGAGGTTCTGCTGCTGATAAGCATCATCATCGCAAAGAGCAGCTTGGCTGGCTCTCTTACAATCTTATGGACTACTCTTCGATGCTGTCCTATAAATAGATTTTGCTGGGTGCACCAGCACAAAGTATCACCGATTTTAAGTTACCTGACTTTCTAAAATGCTACATTTTTGAAGATCGTGATTACAAAATTCTTAGGCTTTTAAGAAAATTATAATCTTTATATGAATAAGTTTTTATTACTTATATTTAAATTGACTATTGTCTCCAACGTAGAGCTATTTTGTTTTTTTGGTACCGACACTCAATATTAAAAGCAACGCAAATATGCTGCCACGGATTGTCTATAAAAATCTATGTTATTTATTATTTTAAGAGTAGCGTATTTGGTTACTTAAAGACGAACTTAGACTTTGACGAGCTTCTCCTACGTATAACAATACACCACAAATCACATGGAATCAGGAATAACAGAAAGTATTTTGTGTGTGTGTCTTAAGTCTAGCGAGCTCCCCCATGAGCGTGTCCTGCCCTGAAGTAGGCACCACCCGTTCCAGCACCACTCGGTCCAGCACCACTCGGTCCAGCGCCACTCGGTCCAGCACCACTCGGCCTGGCACCACTGGTGCCGCCAGCCCCTCCTCCGCTACGTTTCTCCGATCCCGATTCCGCACTGGCGTCTCCGTTGTCGGAGCCACTTTGCTCCGTATCCAGATTCTTCAGTTGCTGCTGCCACATGTCCGCATAGATGCCATCCTCCCGCAGGACGAGCTCTTCGTGCCTGCCTCGCTCCGCAATGTTTCCCTGCTGCAGCACCAGGATTTCGTCCGCATGGATGACGGTGGACAGCCGATGGGCCACGATGATGGTGGTGCGATTGGCGCAGACTCTGGCCAAAGCAGCCTGAATGTTACGTTCCGTGTGCGTATCTAGAGCAGATGTAGCTTCATCCAGAAGCACAATGATGGGTGATTTGAGCAGCGTTCTGGCGATGGCCACTCGCTGCTTCTCGCCTCCACTGAGTCGCAATCCCCGCTCGCCCACCTTCGTTTCGTACTTGTCCGGGAAGCCGAGGATTCTTTCGTGAATGTCTGCGGCGCGTGCAGCCTCGTAAACGGCTTCGTCGCTGGAGCCCAACTTGGCATACTCTATGTTGTAGAAAATGGTGTTGTTGAACAGTACCGTGTCCTGTGGCACCACTCCAATGGCCTTTCGCAGGCTCTCCTGCTGCACCAACTTGATGTTTTGCCCGTCAATTAGAATGGCTCCCGTTTGCACATCATAGAAGCGGAACAGCAGACGCATGATGGTACTTTTGCCAGCTCCAGAAGGTCCTACAATGGCCACTGTCTTCCCGGCGGGCACAGTGAAGCTTATGTTGTGCAGCACTATCTTCTCCGGCGAATAGCCAAAGGTCACGTTGGAGAACTCGATGCCACCGCCACTGGTAATGAGTGGCGAACTGCCTGGCGCGTCCACGATCTCTTCCTCCTCGCGCAGCAGATCGAACATATTCTCCATGTCCACGAAGTTCTTCTGGATGGCGCGGTAATAGGTGCCAAACCAATTAAGAGGCATATACAACTCCATGAGGTAGGTGGAGAAGAGCACAAAGTCGCCCACGGTGAGTGTTTGGTGATGGACCACCAGGTAAACACAGAGCAGCGATCCGGCAAGCAGGCCAAGACACAGGATTATGTTCTGGGCGGTGTTCAGCATGTTAAGGGTTAGCATGGAAAGGAACTCCTCCTTTTGGTACTTTTGAATAGCCTCCTCGTAACAGCGCACCTCCCACTGTTCCGCTCCGTAATACTTAACAGTTTCGAAGTTCAGCAGCGAGTCCACACTGCGAGCTCGCTGCTCGTTGTCCGCCAGATTCATCCTTCTCTGGTATTTGGTGCGCCATTCGGTGATGGCAATCGTCGAAGCTAAAAAAATAAAGTTATTTATATATGATTATTATTCATTGCATTTCTTATCTTTCAAAATAAATTTTATCAAGTTTTTTTTTATCAATAAGGTGCTTCGTCTAAGGAAAAGAAAGCTTCAAGATAGTGTCATACAACGCAATTATATCAAGACATAATCTATTTTTAAAACAATTGTTTTATAGTATAAGTTTTAAAACCGCAAAACCGTACACCTTTTGATTTTTGTTTACTTATAACATAATAATTATTTAAATGATTATTATTTTAAACAATTCTCCTTCTTTTTACTTACCGATATACAGAAACATGGTGAGAAAAACGATCAAGCCAAACCACCAATTAAAGGCGTACACAAAGTAAGCCACAGCCACAAGCAGATCCAGAATCGTGGGCGCAATGGAGAAGACAATGTAGTTGAGTAGGTTGTTAATAGAGTCAGTTCCACGATCCATCACACGCAGCACCTCGCCCGTTTTCCGTTGCAAGTGCCATCTCAGTGAGAGACGGTGAAGATGCCGGAAGAGGTCGATTTCAATTGCCCGAGTAGTATACTGCTGAACCCGAATCCAGAGGAAGGTGCGCAGGTTATTAAACAATCCCATGCTGCCAGTTCCGCCTCCTTGGAGGAAGGATAACCCCACGTAGATGAGCACAAAGTCCCAGCGGAAGATGATCGGTGCAATGGTAAGACTGTCCACTGTGAAGGCAAGAGATTAGTAATGATTAATCAACTTGGTACCCCTCTGAGCCATGACCTACCCAACTTCTTGCGATAAATCGGCAAAAACAGCTTTATGACACGACCGGCCAGCAGCAGTATAATGCAAACAACGACGGATATCTGTAGAGCCACATTCTTCTTCGGCCACATGTAAGGAAAAACGGTGCGCAGCTTGCGCCAACCATTCCTGAAAGCCGATCCCGTTGGCACGCTTCCTTGTGTTTCTGCGGAGGATTCGTTGTCCAACCGTTGATGTGGATTGTAGGGGGCCATGATGCCAGGTGCCTTCAAGCCCAAAACAAAGATGAGCAGCGAGCAAAGGAAGCGGCTTACAAACAGGCCCATTTCAATTTGATCCTTGTTCCTGCGAAAAGGTAAAGGAATACATTAGACAGCCTTTTTATATTTTATCCCATGACTTACGTTTTCAGGTTGAACCACCAGTCTTCATGGCGCAGATTAATGAAGGCCAACGACTCGTTGATAAAGGCTAGTGTCCAAAAGAGCAGCAAGATGAGTCCATGACCTCGCGTTGGCATCGAGGGCAGCTGGTAGTAGCGCTCCTTGAGGATCAAACAGATGCTAAACGGGTACGAAAAGCAAACAATGCAAGTGGAAAAGATCTGCAAGAAAAATCAAGTAAATCTTAGGGTTTCCTCTAGAGATTATCAAACTCACCATATACCCGTAGACCGCACTATCCGGATAAATTCGAGCATTCATCAGAAAACGCAGTGCTGCCAACACTGGGAGCAGAAGCAAGAGGAACAACTGCAGGGCGAACAGTCGCGATTTGGAGATCTGTGTGGGATCCGTGATTCGGGTGGCATACTTCCGGTACATCAGCAACTGGATGCAGCCGAAGAGGAGAAGGAATCCACCGTAGACTGCCGGACCCACGGTGTCCATGAAGCAGTGCGAGATGCCATGCTTCGTCCATACCTCGCTGAGGGTCACGTTGGGCGGGCAGTACAACATGATGGATCCGGGGTTCCTATAACAAACCAATTACGGTATACGATAAGCTCTAACGTGCCAGATAAAGTGGAGCTCTGTGACTGGAACAGCTCGGTGAACGCAATTGCTTTGTTTTATGGGCGGCGGCAATCTCGCTATTATTCACCCAAATTATCAGACGCCCCCAAACGGGAATTCACTATTTTTTTTTGTCACTTGGCTCCAGGTAAGCGGTGTGCAAATTGTGATGTGTTTATTATATTAAATTTGTAAATTTTACAGCACGGCACCAAACTATCCGGCGTGTGAAATCCGTGTGCTATGGAAGTTGCAACTCATTCAGTCCATTCATTGGCTATGCTAAATTATGCAATGTTGGTCGTATGCTCGATGGGACTGAATGGATTTGATTTCCTGCTTACCCGCTATAAAAGTCTCGCGGCAGAGGGAACACTGTAACCCGAGGTGTATGAGGTGAAAACTCAATTAACGCAACCTTGCGAAAAACTCCTGTCCACTCGGCGATCAACAAAAATATTGGATAAGGAGCTCAGTGTGCCCGTTGGCCGGAAAGAAAAAATATACTACTTCGAGTTGTGAGCGCGTGAGTTTAAATACGTTTTCCTATCAAGTTTTTTTTTTGTCTCGTTTAAAAAGTTTATTTAAAGGAGTACAATTTTTAGAAAGTAATGTTTCGAGTTTAATCTTAACACTGAGGAAAACATTTTGAAAGTTTTCTTATCAGTGGAGAAAATGTTCGTAACCGGGCACACTATTATCCAGCCCTGGATTTGAGTTTCGGGCTTGGCTGGGTATTCAAAACCGTGTTATCAATTGTAATCGTGTTAAGTTATTTTGGGCAAAAGTTTTTAAAAAACTTAAAACTTTTTAAGAACTGAAAAACCTGAAAGACAAAAACTGTCATGCAAAAGTAATTTAATTTGTAAACAAAACTTAATATACAGAATTTAATATTGACTGTTTATTTAAGACCAGGTGTTATTATTCACTAAGGGTTTTGACCTTTCTGCATAAAAAGTTTTTTACACAAACCTAAAACTGAAATTAATTTTTACCGACAGACATCAACTACCAATGAATGCATGCTTAGTATATATAGATTTCTTTATTCGTCAAATTTTAAAATAAATATTCATGTTCGTCTAATACTTTACATATAAGAAATTTTCACAAATGGCCTACGCTTATCATTAGTTAATAACTACTCTAAACTAATTGTCTGAGTTTGGAGAGAGTGAATATTCAAAGCACAAGGAACAAATTGTTTTGGAGTAAATTGCTATTTACATCGAGTGTTTTTTGTTTTGAGGTTTGTTTTCCATTTTAACATGTAAAATTCGCTACTTATGATTAAGGGGAAAAAGGTCGTTTAAAAACTACGAAACATTTTAGAAGAGTTCCCGTACGAATTTCGAATTTGATTCGGTCGACTGTCGACTAACCACTAACTTGTTCAACTTGGGTTTAACTTATTATCACAAACAAGTACACTTAATATGCATATGTTTACGGGGTCGAGGGAGTGCACTTCTGCTCCTGCTCCCCCGCGTCTTACAACTACGAGTTGATCTTGGCCAGCAGCGGCTGGGTGACGGCACTGCCCGAAACCGGTGGGCACTGCTGCTTGTAGCTCTTCACCAGATAGCCGTAGTGGTTGCTGTCCGCCGGAATGTTCTGGCCACTGGCACTCCGCTGCGGACTGGTAGCATTCACCAGCTGGGGCATCGCAGCAGCAGCCGGAATCGAAATCGGAACCGGAATCGGATTCGGCGGTGTAGGTGGCGGTTGCACCACCGCGGGCAGCAGTGGAGCCTCGTCGCCCTCGGCGAACTTGATCCGCAGCTGGCCACTGCCCATGCTGCCCGTTTCCGGACCCGGCGAGGCGTTCACCTCGTTCCGGGCGTTCGTCAGCAGCGTTGAGATCGTGGGCGAGGGCTTCAGCCGACTCCTTTGGCCGGACAATGCAGGCGGTGGCTGCAGGATGCCGCTCAGATTGGAGCTGGAATTCGAGTGGACATAGCCGTGGCTATTGTTGTTGTTCAGGTGATGGTGGCTCTTGAGTGCTCCGCTCAGCGGCAGCCGGAAGTGGGCCAGCTCCCAGCTGTCCGAAGCCTCCTCCGTGTCCCGCAAACTGCGGCTGCTGTAGATGTCGCAGTTCCTTTGGCCACCAGCCGCCGCCGATGCGTCCAGATAGAGGTTCTCAGTCTTGTGATAGTCGAAGCCACCGCCACCATTCAGCTTGGGCGAACTGGAGCTGATCTTGCGCTTCACGCGGAGATTGGGCGAATCCCTGCATCCGTATGGTGGGAGGACCGCCGGTGGTGGCGTTGGCAATGCGATCGCCGGTGGTGGCCGCTGGGGTGGTGGCGGCGTGGCCACCATCAGCTCGGAGTACTGCTTGTGCAGGTGGTGCGACTGGCTGCGCTGCGGTTGCTTCAGCGAGGAGCGTCGCGTCAGCATCAGCTTGCTGGGCGAGATCAGGGAGTCGGGACGGGGCACCTCGCCCTCCAGCCAGTAGGTGAGCATCTCGCCCTTGCCCTTCATAGGCACATAACCCCGACGGGTGGTCACAAAGGTTCCGAACTCGTCCAGCGCCGCCTTGGTAGTCTCACTGATGTGGATCTTCAGTGCCTCTCCATTGGACTCCATGCGGGAGGCTGTGTTCACAGTGTCGCCAAAGAGGCAGTAGCGAGGCATCTTCAGGCCCACCACTCCGGCCACACAGGCTCCGGTGTGCAGGCCGATCCTCAATTTCAGTCGATCCTCCGGTCGATGGTGGATGCGGAAATTGTGAACCGCCTCCAGCAAAGCCAATGCCAAACGGGCAATCTCCCTTGCGTGCTGGTTGCCATTGCGAATGGGCAGACCGGAGACCACCATGTAGGCGTCCCCGATCGTCTCCACCTTGTACACATCAAAGTTCTCCACGATGGAATCGAAGCAGGTGTACAGGTCGTTCAGGAACTGCACCACCTGCATGGGCGTGCTCTCCGCCGAGATCGCAGTGAAGCCCACGATGTCGCTGAAGTAGATCGTCACCTGGTCGAAGGTCTCCGCCACCACAGGTTGTCCGCTGATCAACTGAGCTGCCACGCTTTGTGGCAGCAGCTGGTAGAGCAGCTTCTCGCACTTCTTCTTCTCCTCGTGGTAGTCCTGCGTGCGCTCCTCCACCAGCTCCTCCAGGTTGTTGGCGTACAGCTCCATGCGCTTCAGCAGGTTGTCCACGATGTTGCCTGTCTCGTTGTCCCTGTAAAGGATAAAAAAGGGGATTTAAAAAAAAATTATATGAAAAGTGGTGCAATTTATAGTGCTATGTTACAAACTATTTTCTTAAAAATGTGTAAACAAAAATCGCGATTACAAAAGGCTTTCTATTAAATCTATTTATTAGTTTATTTTATCTCAAAATTTACGAAATTTCGACTTACTTATTAAACCTGCGTATCATGGACTTCAGGGTGTTGAAATCCGGACGGTCGGCAGGATCTTCCGCCCAGCAGCGCCTGATGATTCCATTGATATCCGCCTTGGTGTCGCCATTGGGTTCGAGTTCCGGTCGGAATGGCTTCTGCATTCTCTGCGGATGGTATCCCTTGACCAACTCAATGATTTCTATAAAAGAAATAAGGGTTAACCTTGAGTTATCCTTCAGTTCAAAATGAATTTTTTAATAGTTGGTTATATAAATTATTCGTGTTAGTCTTAAGTGTAATTTTATGTCGACACCGAACGGGTCTCATTAGCTAGGCAGACTCATCACAAGGACACCTCAACACTGCTGCCAAGATGAGCACCAGGAAAAACTATCTTGACTTGGTCGCTCTGTTGGTACACGCAAGGCCACCAAAGCCACGTGAACTGAGACCCTGTCACCAACACGAACTCCTCCTGCAATTAATCTGCCGTCGCAAGGAGAAGCTGACCAACAGCCAACTGGAGGATCTCGTTTGGAACATCACCAACGGGCCCAAGAAAAAGAAGACCGCGAAAAAGTCGAGGAAAAGGCAGTGTGGTGGCATGGATGCAACCAGGGAACCCACCGATGCGGAAGTGGTTTTCGGATGCAGAGAGAGGACGCCGCCTCCCACGGTTTCCCACTGTGGCTGGGGAAGATCACGGATCGAATGGCTGCGCAAGCTGGAGCTTCAGCAGAGGCAATACTATCAGGCTTGGCAGGAGATAGCAAGCGTAAATGAAGTCAAAAAAACAGGCAGCAGCACCACCAACAAAAATGAGAAGACACCCAGTTGTAAAAAGGATAAAAACAGGAAAAAGGACAAAGGCAAAGCCCGGTTGAAGCTGTCCGACTGTTGGTCGTTTCTTCCATTCCTGTGTGGCAGGAACATCGGGAAGGATTCCAGCTGCCTGAACGTGCGGCACCGCAAGAAGACTCCGTGATTTGCCTTCTGGGGCGCCACTGCGATGGCTGCAACTTTACGACCGCCTCTGCACTTTGATTTCGATTTCCGGCACGACGGCACCGCAATTAAATTCGCCGGCAGACACAACTCTCTCGAAAAGTGCCAGTTGGCCAAGTTGCATTTCTGCGACTGACGAGTGGCTGGCAAAGAGGAGGAGTCTGTGTTCCGTAACCTCCAGTCACGGCCTAATTTGATGAATCCGTCAAGTGCCAACTCGAAGACCAAGTTTCGGGTGCCAATTGAAATCGGCGCGAGTCTCGAACTTTGCCCTTCAGCTCAACGAGGCATTGAGTGCTTTTACTCTAATCAGCTATATAAAAATTATGCTTTACTTTAAATTCTTTTTACGACGACTTAAAGTGGAATGAACTACCAAACACTAAAGAAAATCAATAGTAAACCCAAAATATGTTATTTAATTTTTTTAGCTATCTTTCCACTTTGCAGAAGGCATCAAATAAGGTTTTACTTTCATACTGCTTTACTGAGCTGGGTGTATCGTTTTTAAAATAAATACCCTTGACACCAAATAAAAATATATTGCAAAATGTATAAACTATTTTGTGCTGTTCGATAATATTGTCCATTATTCTTGCCATTGACAAGCTACATGTTCGCAGGAATTAAGTGATAGCTTGCACTCTTTCCACCGTGGAATTTAAAGCACGTCTAGAGGTAAATTCGCCCATAACCATCAGCACGGCCGACCTAGTGGCCAACTGACGGAGCGAGTAACCGCAACATGTGCAGAAATCTGGCATTAAAATTCCGCACAGACAAAATCGGCCGCAACACGAAAATGGCCAAGTGAAAAGACATTCGAAGGAGAGGAGGAGGATGAGGTGGAGGAGGAGGAATGGGAGAATGTACATGGGGAGGTTCTAAGGTTGAAATCACTTGCATTGCATACCTTGCGGCGACTTTTCGTACGCACACCTGCCCAGGTAAAAGGGACCTTGTCGAGTGGTTATCTCGTGCACAATAATTCCAAAGGCGTAGACATCACCCTTCTGCGTTCCCTCGGGGGCTCGGTTGTGCTCCACTCTCAGCAGTTCGGGGGCAGTCCACAAGAGCTCTGCAGAGAGAGAAAAATCGTATGTTATTTCACTTATATTGGAATTTCTGAAATTATTGTAGGGTTTTCTAAGGTTTGATTAAAACCGTTTAATTGGAGTTTGTTTGTCGAAACATTTTTCATTATTAATTGCAAGAGCAAAGTGTTTTTAATATTTTAAAAATAATATATAAAGCGTTATCAAGTTTTGCTCCGTCAAACTCCTAAGTTTTGTCAGTTCACATTTTTGCCAGTGCACCAAAATCAACATTGTGTCTACTTACTGCTCCAGTAGGCGTGGCTGTTGCAGTTGCCTCCGTCGCTCTCGAGGTCGAATCTCGTCCGCCGCAGGGAGTGCAGTCCAAAGTCGGTGATCTTGAGCACGAACCGGGAGTCGACCACGCAGTTGGAGGACTTCAAGTTGCCGTGGGAGCGGATGTCGGAGCTGTGGAGGAACTGCATCCCACGCACGATGTCGTGCATCAGCGAAAGTCGGAACATCCAGTCCAGCTGGAACTGCTCATTCTCCAGGATGTCCTGCAGCGAACCCTTGGGGCAATACTCTGTCAGGAGGAAGCTGCGTCTCTGGTCCAGACAGGCACCATAGAACTTGACCAAATGGTCGTGCTGCAGATCCTTCATCCGCTTCAGCTCGAGCATCAAACTTCGCGTGAGCAGAGCCTGCACATTGTCCACCTCCACTGGCTTAATGGCCACCTTGCTCTTGCGAAACATTCCCACGGGTATGAAGATCTGGCGGTCTCCGTTGATGGACACCATGTCCTCGGACATCAGGGTCAGCTGGGAGCTCTGCTTCACCAGCGAATGGAAGGAGCCGCGCAGTCCTCGCTCCGCCGCATCCCGGAACATCACGTCCTCCAGCGAAACCTTCCAGCTCATCGAGTTGATCTCCGCCTCGGCGATGTAGTGTCGGTAGCCGAAGAAGAAGCACACGGCCATCACCACCACCATGGTTCCCAGCACAATCGACAGGATTGCATAACCGGGAAGAGCTAACAGTTATTTAAAAAAAAATTAATAAGTAAAAACCCATGCTGTGGAGAGTTTGAGCTACTTATAAAAATAATGTAAAAGCTAATGGAGAAATTGGTCTCAGTTAAAAGTGATAGTGGATATATGTATGCACTCAAAGTGTTTTAAATAGAAGAAGTTTTTATAAAAAATTTCCATTCTTTTAATAATTTATGATTCATGTCATCATCTGAGTTTTAACTACAATAAGTTAAAATGCAGATAAACTCTTCTTAATTTAACAATATACTACATTTTATATCGGTGGAACAAATCAACTGAAGATGGATAGATATTTTTTAATAAATTGTTTTTCAACAGTTTCCAGCAAAAGTCGCGAATAAGTATGCTACGATTTTTTAAAGGATCCTATGTTTTACATTTACTGATTAATACTCACAATTATCAGGGCACAGGGCGCCATCGTAGCCGCAACTGGGTCGATCCGGCGGAGCCTCCTCTCGATCCCCCGCCCAGTGGATCTCCTTGTTGGCCTCGAACTCCAGCCGGTTGTGCAGGAAGTGGGCCACGATCTCAAATCTTCCCGTGGTGGGATTCATGTCCAGCAGCGAGTAAGCGGACAACCGGTCTCCGTTGGCATCGATGGTCACGTTGCCGGTGATTCCAGTGAAGCTGCGGTTCCACATGCGACGCACCATATCGGTGCCGTTGATTGGACGGGTGAGCATCGTGGGATCCTCCCGGATGCTCTCGTTCAAGGCATTTGCATAGAGGAGCACTCCATCGAAGAACGAGGTGACAAATGCCGAGATGGGTTCATTGTCGCTAAATGTGTAATTGTACTTCTCCGCGGCAATTGCTTTGATCTGTAAATAGCGATGTTGCGATTTGCAACGCATAAATCTCCCTTCTGCGTGCAGTTAACTCCCCAAAACCCTTTTCCCCACTCCCATTCTATTCATCGCCAGAGGGCAACTACTGTCCGCTTTCCTTTTGCTTTTCCCCTTTAATTGCTTTGGCCACCGTGAAAATTCAATTACGCGTTCGCTCGTTCGAAACGGAGGAAGGAAGACGACAGTTCTGGTCTAGGACGTTTTGTCACAATCCATGTGGAAATTATTGCACACCGCAGTCCGATGTGCCACCGGCGGATTTGCTCGCCATTCGCCTTTGACAAGTGGCCTCGCCGAGATTTGGCCGAAGCTGCGGTTGCAAGTGTCCACGGAGCGTAAGTTTGCTGCCAAGAAAGCCGATGATTTAAGCTCCAGTTCTTAAAGGCTACCGATGCAAAATGCTCACGACTGTTAAGCCAGTTGGCAAACGGAGTTCCGTCGATTATTGGCAGATGATTACACTCGAAAAGATTATTAAGTAGGTCAGCAAGGGAAAATCGTTCTACCTTAATTATTTTAATAGTGAATCTAAGTTAAAAACTCATTAAGAAACATTTTACTAAAACAGTAAGATATTTTTTTTAAAGTTTCCTGTTTAAGTTTAGTTCATTTAACATAAAGAAATTTACTTTCTAAAAATACATTTCTTCAAGTTTAATGGGTTGTCCAATGAAAGAATAAAATTGTTTTTACCAAATTGCTTTCTTTTTAAGATTTCTATTGGTATTTAAGATTTTTTTCTCCTTATTGAATTATGAAATTCTTAGATGCATTTCGTATTGTTATCTTTCTGCTGACGCGTAATCTTGTGCTTGGCAAGCAGAGAACCATCATCAACATGTCGTAATCATTTTCACTCTGTAGTCTATTTTCATAGACTAAGTATCTAATAGATAAGTGGAGAACAGGATGTCATTAGCTAGACAGTCTGCAGTCTCCAGAATCCCCTTTAGAGGTTGCAACCTCCATAGATTTCCCCCACTTCCTGCTTATCGACAACTGCACCTGGAAATTCATTCGATTTTCAGGTGACTGGCACCCTGCTTTTTCGAGGGCTCTTCGCCTCTTGAAGTTGGCCTGCAAATGCTCTCAGCTGTCGGCTTTGTTTGTTTGCAACAAAATTTACCATGTATAAACAGTAAAATTTCGGCAATCCCTGTCCCTTCGCCCGACTGCCATGCAAAATAGGCTGCGGCTGTGGGGGAACGTAAGCGGGAATTCAGTATGCATGAGGCTGGCCAAAAAAGGTGCAAAAAAAGGGGAAAAACAAAAGAAATCTGCAAAAATTTTCAAATTGGCTACAACATCCATTTCCATGCAAATGCAGGCACATCCCCTTAGCTGGCCAACTGCTCCTCCTTCTTATCCCGATCCACACTCACCTCATTGGAGACCCTTGTGTATTCATTGTCATTCGGCTGCTTTGGAGTTACGGTCAGCATGGCTGTATAGGCCTTCTGGGCCCTCTCATTGTTTAGGTCCGTATCGTTCTTATCGTACCACGGCTGAGACGTCAGATATTGAACCCTACAAAGGGAAAATAGTAATAAAACAAATCAGTATCGGTAGAAGTAGGTGTTAAATAATAATTCTTATCTAAAACTAGGCAAAATGTATTTTGGTTTTCTCTATTAACAGGTAAAAGTTAATTATTATTTTAAAGAAATACCAAAAACTTAACTTTAATTCTATTAAAATTATTTATATCAGTTACTAAAATTTCTAAAAAATTATAACTGTTTATAACTACTTAAACTTTATTTTTAATAAAAAATAATGGGTTTGAAAGTAACAAATATATTATGATTTATGACGAGTTCATTCATTTACTTAAAAAATTAAAATAGTGTACAAAATACAATTTTTTCTTCGAGTAATTACTAATTTCTGTAATATTTTATGATTGTTTTTTCGCCTTTTTGCCACTTCGCCTTTTCACTTATTATCATTTGTCAGATATTTCACTTTTCTCTTCCCTTTTCTTTGTTTTTGCTTTTACTTATCAATCCCGTTTTTTATTTATTATCAAGTTTTGAGTATTTCAATTTTTGTTCCCTTTTATAATTTTAGTTATTTCTTATCAATGCCGTTTTAATTTGCCTTTGTGCCGCTTTTGGTTTAGGTTTATTACCAGCTATTGATATGCGTCATAAATTGTTTATAAATAGAATTGTAAAGTCCACCATACAAATGCACTAGCTGCCACTTTTCAGTTTGATTCTGAGTAAATGCATTTGGAATTGCTTAGCCCCTCCACGTAATGCATTTACCCGGTTATCATCTGCATCTCCCATGTATTTCTCTCGCTTCAATGTTAGCAGATAGTAAAATTAAAAAATATTGACTGAAGATTGCTTTCTGGGATTCGACTGTTGAAGATTGTTGCAACTATCCAGGATTTTTAAGGAGGGGGTTGCAATAAATAATGTGACTTGTTTATAAGTCTATCTGGGTTTTGCTTTACATTTTAAAAATAATTGAATCAAAAGAAAATTTTATGCTTTGCACCCACCTAAAAGCAGTTATAAAACATTCTATCATTTAGTTTTATTTTACCCATCCTCATAAAAAGTACATATCTTCACATAACTTAAAAAAGGGCTTCTAATAATAGGTTTTATTATCTTGCCGTCTGTTTACTTTGCGCTTTTGCAAGCAGGAAATTGATTAGCTAATCCAATGCATATACCGGCATTCACACACGCTTTGATGCACAAGTATATAGATAGATTAGTGCACATATATATACGCAGCATTTTTCCATTGATTGCGAGTGTCATGAAGGTCGAGCGATTAGAGTGCATTTAATGCACATGCAAATACACCCGATTGCAATTAAATTCTTTGCAATGCCAGAAGGAAACTCTTTAAGGCCCATTAACTTTGCCTTTTTTGGGATGAAGCCAATTTTTCGGTGGGACAAAAAAGTGCTGGCTAAAAACCCCAGTAAGATCGAGCGACGAACAAAGAAGCTGGGGCATTACTCAGCACTAATGTTCGTGGTTAATCATAATAAATATGGCTCGGAGTCAATATCTGAATCTGAATCTGAGTTGGAGTCTGAGGTGGGCACTTTGCTTGTCGTCCATTGTTCGGGCTCGGAGTTTGACTGGCTTTAATCGACCGAGCCATGTGCCGAAATATGGAATTTCCTCAATTTAAAAATAGTTAGGCTCTTGTGAGGCAAATGCAGAAGCTATTTATAAAGCTCGCTTGGTACATTTCATAACATTAACAACCTTGACTAATGCTGCTCATGCGCAGTTTGTAAAGAATATATATTTTTTTCTATTTGTCGAGAGTGCGCGTGGATTTTTTCCCCATTTTTATTTGGCCAAAGTGAAAGGCAGGAAATTGATCGGCAATTGCCATAAATGATCACCTTTTGTCCGCATTAATGTGTGTGCGTGTGTGTGTGTGTGTGTGACTTTGTTAAGTAATTCAAACATTTGTTTAGTGTTGAGATACTCACCGCGAAAATAATTCAATATTGATGAAAACATATTCGCCGCTATCGATCATATTCAACTCCTCGGCTGTCAGCATAATTTGACGTATCGACTGCGGATCGGCGCACATTATGACAACTGCAAAAAACACAAGACGGAAAAAAAATATAGCGATACAATCAAAAGTCGTAATTTCGTCTTCTTTCTGGAAGCCAGCAGTCGAGACAACGCAACCGCCACTCTTGTCATTAAAAATGTATTAATTTATTAAAAAGTTGTCGAGCTTCTCTCGTCTCAAATGAGACTTGTAAACTTGTCAGTTTTCTTGACGTCAGCAAATTGCAAAACGTAATTCCCAAAGGGAACAAATTGTTTCTTAAATTAAAACCGAAAGATCTTAATGGTACTTTATACTCAAGTTGATATGTGGTTGACAGTACTTGAAAGAGTTTTCGATATGTTTCGGAGCAGAACAGAATGGGTCAAAAATTGTATACATTTTGGGGGGTTTTCAAATTTTAAATTGAATAATTGTTTACCCCAAATATAATATTATAAAAAATTAAAAATCAAAAAGTTTTTCTAAAAAGTTGTTCATTATTGAACTGCACATATCAATTAAAGTTTTCACAACTTGTTTTGGAAAGCCATGTCGAAATTATCAAACAAAACTGAACTAATCTAAAACTAAATCAAGTTTATTTGAATAGAGACCAGAAATTATGGATTAAATCAACATTTCGCTACTAATACAAGTTTATATGTGGTCACAAATGTCCACAAATCTAACATTTTATTCGTCCATAAAGTACATGTTTATTTTACCAATTACAAATTGCATGTCAGTGATTCTTATAAATATGCGTTCGTGCTGCATTCCATAAGCCTGCATAAGCTGACAAATGTAATTGCGTATACGACGTGTTGTGCAGCCAGTGTGATATGCAAATAAGCCAGCGTATTTGCTAGTCAAATATGTTGCAAGCAAATGCTACATTAATTGTGAAAACCCTTGCTTTTATTGATAGCTAGATATAGGTTTATTTGTGCACACAAGACAATCGACTGAAATTTTAAGATGCCTCTACAATTTTCTACGTCATATTTTGCGTTTTCTCGCTCAAATGTAATTGCTTCGAAATGGATAGAAGATGCACACAGCCGTGGACCAGACAATTTCAAGTTCAGTGCAAAGACAGTGCAATTGACTTGATTTAATTATACAATTTTTATTCTCTTTATTTGTCTCCTCCGTTTAAATATTATGTGTGCACTTTTGCTCATGTTGACTTCCTACGAGCTGTTACTTATACCATTTGATAAGTGTGACTGTGAGTCAACCTTAAGTGTCATATGCATAATTGCATTAAGAGATCCTTTGTTTACCCTAACTGCTTATTAAATTAAAACATAAATCAATTGGTAAGGCAAACAATTTTGGTAAAGCGATAAAATGGAAATCTGAGTAAACAACGCCTTCAGGAAGATATCAAATTACAAAGCAAATAATTTAATACGCTTGAAAGCTTAATTCAAGAATGAAAACAATTTTAATTAATTTCCTGTGCTGTAAATTAGAATCTTTTGTGGGGAATTTGATTGACAATAAATCATTAGATCAATAAAAATACAAATCACGTACAGATTTATTTTTGAAATGAGCGATCATTTTTTGGGCACTTCAAAAAGAAAGTATTATTACTCTGCCCTTGAACTTAGTTCTATTGTTAGATGTTTTCGTCATAAAAAATTTACTTTCTTTGTCGGCATATCGAAAATAAAAATCCGCAGACCGAATTTCATTTTGAATTCTAGGCACAATTTGGCTATAATTATGTGTTATTTAAAAAGACATTAAATTTGCCTAAATTTGTTGGATGGGATTCACGCTTTTTTCTGTGGTCTCTAAAATGCTTCAATTATTTGCCATTATTTCAGATTTAAATTGATTTACTATTCCAATAAGCCAATATATTTTCTGCCTATTCATAATAATTAAACATCCATCGGATTAGTCACTTTATTGAGCGTAGTCGATTACTAGTGCGTGGCCCATCTTTTTTTGGTTTAACTGAGTTTTCCCATTAAAATTCAATTAGCATCGAACTGCGAACCGTATTGCCGCGTCTGCCACACTAAAATATGCATAACGAATGTAATTGCTTACTGTGTTAATTGCCAATAAATGAAATTAAATGAGTTGTAATTAAACAATAGCGTTCGATCGGACGGGTAGGTAAACCATTGAGCATACGCTGCGTATGCTTGATGTGCGACTTTTTATTGTCAGCGGACAGATTGACAGATGGAAATGCTTAACTGCATCGCTTACCAATGCGATGTGCTAATTAACAGCATCGATTCTCTGACAACAATCAATTCATCAAATTTTACATTTCACTTAGCAAATAGTTTTCTGCAAACAATGCGCATACGCCCCGTACTACACAGAGCACTGTCTGTCTATAAATAAAATCGAACTTATTTATTCACGAGCTTCTCAAAAATGAAACACCCGTCTATTTCCTATCGCTTTCGATTCTTGAACTTGCCTTTGTCACATTTGCCCAATATAAATAGATCGATTTCGCTTTCAATGCTGCACGCAATGAGGTTGCAAAGTTCAGGGTGGCTGCATGCCTAAATGAATTCGCAAGTGCGAATGCATCAGATGGCGAGCTAAGCGGCAAGGTTTCAGTCGGATGTATTTTGCAAAACAGTAGTAAAAGTGAATATCACTTAAAAATTAATTTATTTAAATTATAAATTGCATTAAAAAACTGAAAATCTACTAAATACTAAAGAGAGCTGTAAGATATATTTATTTAATCACTTCCAAAAACTAACTTAAAAAAAGTTTAAAAGAATATGCAAATTTAAGGTAAGATAGTGAATACATAACTATTTTCTGACTCAAGAAACTTCTGTTAGTCATTTATTTATGGAATAGTTTTTTTTGTCCCTCATTTCCCCACCTTCACTTTCCACCCAATTAAATATTTGCATTTACACCATCCATCACTTACTTCTCGTCTGCATGGCGACGTTCTTGAGCATCCGCGTGATGTCCGCCTTCGTCCAAGTGGAGGTGTCGAAACCCAGTTGGTAAACGGAGTGCTCCTCGATGGTGTCGTGGATGGCGGCCAGACAGAGGAAGCACACCGAGTTGCCCTTGACCTTGGCATTCTCGTTCTGGTAGATCAGTGCGGTTCGCGTCCAATTGAAGCTATTGAGGATTGCTCGCACCACATTGCCAAGGTTATTCACCTGGGCTCCCTTTAATCTTGTCAGAGTGGAGTAACTCTCGGACTTCTTATTGAATTCCTTGGCATTTCCACCGGTGGTGAGAACAGGAACCTGCCAAACATCAGCATAACGCGATATGGGAGCCAATACATATTCGCAGGGAAGACCAAAAACCGCATTGACCTCCGGCCATTGGGTGTAGATCTCGAAAAATCCAATGGGTCCGTACTTGGAGGAGCAGAAGGTGTCCCGGGAAATCAGCTGGATGTCGAAGTGGCTGCCGCCCACGAATCCCAACCGCTGGATATGTCGGATGCCCAGCTCCAAAACGGGCAGCACCTTCGGCATGATGCAGTCGTTCTTGTTGTCTGATTCCACCGAAGGAAGCAAAGCCACAAAAACCAGTTGTCTCCTGGCGCCTATGTATCCATCGGATGTGGGAAGGCTGGGAAAGTGCTGAACCAACTCGGTGCTTTGGGATTTGTGCGAGGTCTTGGTCTCCGGGGTCTTGAAGCTGTGCTCATCGGAACCCACTCCCATGGTGGCCACTCCACCAACGGATTCGGCATCGTAGAACCAGGCGGAGCTCGGAAAGAGGAGTCCCTGCAGCAGGCACAGGATCAGGAGCAGGCTCAGTCCTTGGCCAACTCTGGGCATCTCGGACGGAGGAGAGTCTCCCCTCGCGATTGCAATTTACTCGGATTTTATTCACTTTCGTGTTTGTCAGGCGTTGTTGTTTTGGTTGTTGTTGTTGTTGTTGTTCTGTGTCACCGATTTTGATCGCATTATTTATGCGATTGTGTTGTGTTTTTTTACAACGTTCTTAACACGACGATCTCCTTTAATTCATTTTGCAGCAAAAAATACCTGCGGCAAATTGAAATTTTTGTTTATTAATTGCACTGTTTTGTTTGGAACAATTTTTATTAATCACCGCCCGATTGTTCGAATTTAATTATCCGTCTCGGAGTTTTCATTAGCGAACTGGTTCGTCGGACATGTTTTCACCCTTTTTTGGCAATCGATTTTAATTAGCACTTTTACAGCAGGAAACTTTTAGCATTTATATTTTGTGATTGTCTCTCGGAGCGAATTGAAGCATTCAGGGATGCCTTACGCTTCAGCACATATATACATATGTATATGAACAGCCGCAGATGGCCATTGAAGGCGAAGCCGAATATTCAAAACAATATTTACTATTCGTATTTTTAAATGCAACCCGTGAACAACAGGCCCAAGCCACATTGCAATTTTTCCTGTAAAAACACTTGTGTGTGCATGCAAATTGTTTGTGGAGCAAAACGAAAAAGATCGAGGGGGATTCAGCTGCAAGTCGTTGTCAAGACACACTTTCTACCAAATAGAACAAGTTTTTGGGATAACTAAATTTAGCAATCAAAAAGTCAGGGCACAAAGAAGTTCAGACTTTTCCATTCACAACTTTATCCATTGTAAAAAGGTGCGAAAATAAAAAGCGTTTGGTTATTTTTAGATGTTGAACTTTGAATTGAATAAAGTATTCATTTATGCAAATACTCGATAGGCATAGAAAGTCCAATCACATTGAACAAATGATTCACATGCTATCCAGTCAGACCCATAAATTATTTTATACAAAGTGAAACCATTGGAGTTTCTAATGCGACTAACAAGAGAGTTTTGCTAATTAAAATGCTAAAAAAAAATGTATTTCAGGTTAAATAAACCCGCCTGACATCTTTTTTCGGCTTGAACTTTGTGTGTACAAAATACACAAAATAATTGATTGAGAGTCGTTAACAAAATATTATTTTTTTAAACCCACTTCAAGCTGACAGCGCATTTAAAAACAAAAGGGCTAAAAATAAACCGAAGTGCGGTATTTAAAATTCTTTTGACCTTCACCTGAGCGGTGTAAAATTGTTGTCGTTGTTTCTGTTGATGTTGCTGACACGTATTCGAGTGGATTATTTTTGCGGTTGAATATTACAAAATCACTAAGCATATATGTTCCCCTAGATTTCGGATTCGTTGCAAATTTAACGGCAATTAGGAAAGTAAGTAAAGAACGTGAAAAATTGCTTTGTGGCCTGGAGAAGAATGATTCGGCATATAATAACACTATCTCCCGATAGCTTTATTGGGGACAGTTCCCGGACGCAGCTCAAGTTCGGTTAACTCTTGACCAATTTTCCCATTCACCGATTATCATCAGTGCTATCCGTTCATTAAACTTCTTTCGAATGGCTTTATAGCCGCGAAGATATGTTTTTTATAGCTAAAAATAGATCCAGACAAAAAGAGCCCTCTAAGGCATTCAAATGTGGCAAAAAAAAATCGTCTAAGACAAACGAACAATGGTAATAAATACAATGGCCAGAAGAAAGAGTGGACACAATGCCATTCGCCGTAAGGAAACGTATGAAAAAAAATCTTTAAAGCTCCGTAATGATGCCCGTTGGCGTTGCGAAATACGTTTTTTTATTTACTATACAAAAATTCGGAATTGATCTTATAATATTTTCTGTTAGAGTTTTGGGCGATCCAAGCAGTAAATTATGTTCTTCTCTATAATGAGATGTGAAAGTAAAGTTTAAAAATGTGTTTTTGTGAAAAATATTCACATTTTTAACACTGAGATTATTTAAACCTTTTAACTCTAATATTCAAGGTTGTCTGATCGGACAGCCAGCAAAATAATTCGTCAAATGCCAAAAACCTAATGGAAATATGGGTCAATTAGAGACTTGAGCTGCTGATCTCCTCGGAGATTTCGGAGTGGAGAAAGGGGCATTTGCCGACAGAGATGGGGAGTGTTTTGTTCCAGGTATTTTCTTGTTGTACAAACAAGGCTTTGTTTTTTTTCATTCATGCTTTATTATTTTCGTTTCGGCTTTTCAATTTTGTACGGTATGGATTTGAGTATTTTTGGGCCTTAAGAGTATACACGTGCCGTGGATTAAACAAACGATCTCCAGCGGTTTGCAGCTTGCCCCTGATATCATCATTCAATCAGGTAGCACTCGGTGCACACAACAAAAAATAAAAACCAAAGCTGAAGTGCAAAAATTATGTAGCAATAAATGTATTTTAATATAAAATAATTACTTTATGACTCCCTTAAGTGACTTTATAAGTTTATTTAATAAGGCTAGCAGCTTCAAACAAAATGAAGAAGTTTTGAGTTCTGAAAATCTTTTATTTCCTATAAGTGTTGATATTGGATCTATTTGTCCCAATTCTTGCTAACCAAAAAAACTAGATATTTTTTATACAGTGATCATAATTAAAGTACTTTTTTTCTCTGTGTAAAACTGTCTTGGGGTGCCGTTAGACCTTTGGGTCCCACTCTGATTGAGCCGAATGATTTATGAGGTTTTAATCTGCAATTCGCCCATTTGATTGGCCCAAAGCCGCGATGGGTATCGGCCATCTATCCAGCTGTTCGTCGGCTTATGCTAATTCACTCATTTGTTTCTCTCGCCGCTGACTAATGAAGTTCACGCTTTATTAATAGGTTGTTTAACTGGTCAACTGGCCAGCGAGTCAAACGTCACCTGTCGTTTTGTTTGGGGCTATTTTTGGAGCGTAAACCCCAGTGTTCAGTCGTATTCCCCCCCACTTGTGTCCCCTTAAACATTATTGCTGTCATCGACTTGGTCATGTTGCTTAATTACTTTTCGGAGCTGAAGCTATGCAAATAGACCGACTCTGATTTGCTTTCCATTTTGGCCAAGCTGGCAATTTGAAACCGTTAACTGTCGTTAAATCGATCATTTTGGCAATTAAAAAATTAGTTCTGATAAAGATTTATGAATTATTTATCACTCTCGAGTGAAACATTCATTCATATTTCTCACTTTAGCTTTAGTTTTTAGTCGGTTGAAACCAGTTTGTATAGACTCATTAGTTATTAGGAGTAGGTTTAGGTGTTAGGGTATTACTAAGTCGATTTTTATCTCCACTTAATAGCCTTCTTCGCGGTCATTACTACTCTCTTTATTTGTTGAATAATATTTTTGTTTTGGTCTCTTTTCGGTTGAATTTGTGCTGGCCAAGCTGATTTTGTTATTTTGATTTTTTTTTCGGTGCGAGAAATATGAGCTGCATATTTTGTGAGTATTTTCTTTATTTTTAGCTGTACCTGAGGAATATGAAAACAATCGAATGCCGCGTAGTACTCAACGTTAGGTAATCGAAGACGTAATTGCGTTGAAGGTGTTCTTAACAATTCGAAAAAGCCCTATCTAATTATAGGGGAATGTTGCTCTTAAATGATGAGTTCATTAGTGGAATAAAAAATCTTATAAGGCGATATCTATTACAGCACCCGCTAGTAATTACTGTACTCGCTTACATCGGATACATATGATTATCAATCAACTGAATTAGCCATTAAAATGTTTTGATTCAACCCAGACACCCGAGACAGGTGACAGAATGTCGCAACAAAGTGACTGGGTGATCGCAAATTAAGTCAACTTTTCGTAGGCGTTTTAATTGCACATTGCTCACTCATTCACGCCAGCTTAAGGTGCTCCATTTACAAGGAAACTTTTTGCAAATATTTACGGAGAACGTTTATTTTTACATCGCACTCTTTATGCTGTGCAAATTGAACAAACGCGAAAAGCAAAACAAAAGTGTGAAAATGAAAACAAAAAGCGAGCAATGCTGAATATTCCATTTAGAAATCGAATAACATAAGCTGCAACTCCAATTTGAGCAGTCGCAGATGTAATGCTCTAGGTAGTAAAAATTGCTTTAAATTTTTGGATTGTCCAGTAAAATTGTTTTATAGATGGTTACAAATATGGGGGATTTTTTGCACAATTGCATAGCTGTATATAATCCAACCGAATTAGTTGAAAAAATTAGGTATTTATGGTAATTATTTGGGGCGAAAAGTACAATTTAAAAGTAATTTTTTAAATAAATGCATTTATAATTTGATGATGGAGTTAAGCCTAATGTTTAATTTATCTAAAATTTATAAGTGTTTGTAACGCTACACTTTATCTTATATGAAAGTGATATTTTGACCTTTCCTGTTCAACATTTTGAAAGCGCAATTTTCACTTTCTTTTTGCCCATTTCCGGCCAACAATGGCGCAATTGTCAAGCGAAAACATTTTCAAATAGCTGGACATCGGCAACGAAACATTGTTGAAATTGTGTTTCAAGTTCAACACGTCTGTCAGCACTGCCGGATGATCCAGTGGACCAGTCCCCAAGCCCCAGAGCTTCAATTCCCTGCGGGATGTGTCCATTCGCACCGATACTTTAAACGGTTTTGCAGCAGTTCGCGTTGTTCTTTGCCGGAGTGGTTTTACCCCGGGGAGTATTGGGCTTTTTAAATGCAATATCCCGGCTTACTGTCCGTGCTATAAATATTATTGGGGGACTGGCAATTAAACGAAACGAAAAACGAAACCCGAAAAGTACGTAAACCAAATATAACATGCAGGTTGAGTCCCCTAATTTTTGTTTTTAAGCAGCAAACACGTTTGGCTACTGCGACTGGAATCTGGCTGCTGGCCAAGTATTTTGTTTGTTCGGGAGACAATTACAAATATAAAGAAGGGGGTAAACAATTCAGGTTAAATTTTAATCTGCACAAACCCAAAGCAGTTTCATTTAATTTCTATTTCAAGTGCTTCACGAAAAAGTGCCATTTAAATGGGATTGAATTAACTAAATTCCTTTCATTCATTAAATGCTGCATTTTGACACAGCTAAATCTTGTTGAAATGGGCAAGCTTGTGCCATAAATCAATATTATTTGTGTGCTCAGTAAACTGAAATTGCAAACAGATTCACAATGACAAATAGATAAATGCAAATTCAATAAATATTGGCAAAACAAATCAAAGAGGAAGCTGAACGATTGTGGTTCAACCAGGAATCAGATTGCCGATTTTTTGTTTTTTTTTTTCTGGCTGATTAACATTGATATCGTTGTCGATGCGACCCATGTGTTAATTGCAAACATGGGTTAACCACTTCAGTTCACTTTGTCTCCGACCGGCTGATTGCCAAACAATTTTCCATTTCAATTTCACTTTTTATTTTTCAAAAGTTTATTTATAGCTTGTTTTCCCTGGCTGCACATTTCTCAAGATCCAATTGTGCCTTAGTTATTTACTTTTAATTATGCGCTTTTTATCTTATCGCGTTTTTCGTGTTTTTGTTGTTTCTACAGCTGCTATTGACAAGTCAATATCATTGAGTATACAGAGTAAAATAATTATGCACTCGAAAAAACCGAAACCGAAAGGCGTCGCACTCTAGAAAAACTGAGTATTTGCGAGTTTGGAAAACGCGCGTCTTGTGAGAATTTTCCCCGTCGAATCGAATTGTGTCGGTGCGTTCCGTGCGCAGTTTTCTGAGCGCTTCGCACACGCTCGACTCGCCAAACCGAACTGAACGCCCGAGTCGGAATCGCAGGCGGTCGTCGATGCCGCCGGTGAAGTCCGACGGCGAAGTCAACTGTGGCGTCTGCGCTGGCGGTGGGCGGTGACGGCGGCAGAGCAGCGACTGCGGCAGCAACGCCGGCTGCTGCGCACCTGATCCCCAATGAAATCAGAACGCACAGAGCGGTATAATCTATATCAACCCGATAACAAGCATAATTAATTATAATAATAATAATAATAATTATAATATAAAATATATTTTAAATTGACAAAAAATGTGTAAAAAATATGGGTAGCATGCATTAAAATCTATTTCTTTATCTCATATTTGACTAAAAATATACATTAAATCATGCAAGTGTATAGATTTCCTAGAAACGTAAAACATGTTTTATTTATAAGTAGATACATATGTATGTTGTGGCACTTGATATATCGTTCTAGAAATAATCCGTTTACCCATAAAATGTTTTTATTTTAATGGAGGGAGCGTAATTCAGCATTTATGAAATTCAGAAGGTTACACCCCATTGTTTATATGATTTTGTTTTGGTTTAGTTATTTAAATTTTGATATTCTTGATATCCCCTTTACTTTTTTAAAATTTTTGTTTGTGGAACTTTTCGATGTGTTGGATTAGCTTTTAATGCATTTAGGATATTAACAGTGCTTTGTAATAAACTTCTTAAATTTCTTTCTCTTCACTTTGTTGTTACCCATAACCTTCTTCAGCCGGCTGTTGTAATACTTTCGAAAATCAATTCATAACTACTTTTCGATCGCAGATGAATAATAAATCATAATAAACCATGCGTCTTGGGAGCAGGCATGTGTTCAACCTAAAAGCTGTTGGCTCTCCTCTTTTTGAATTCTCGTGGGACGGAATATATCCCAGCCAGTTGTCCATTACACACTGAAATCCAATTTGAATTTCAACTACGGTACAGATACATTCGTCCCTTGTCCGTTGTCCTTCGACCCTGTCGTCCAGCTCTGTTTTGGCTTAGATTACATACGCATACACTGGATGGAGGGTTAATACGCATACGCAGCGTTGTACGCATGAAGTGTTGGCAGCCGAGATGCTCCTGCCTTGCCCAGCCTGCTTTCATATTTCAGTTTTATCTCAGTTTTTCCCGCTCCCTTCCACTTCCCTTTGCCCTTTTCCCGGAATTGAACTTAATAAATCACTGGGATGAGAAAGAATTTTCGGTGGAAGGGTGCGAATGAATTGCACTTGTTGCCCATCATTTCATCTTAGTCTCGCTCGCAGTGCGCATCTTTTGTGTGAGATTTGGGTTTACTTTTTCATAATTGTTTACCATACATTCGAGTTAGTAGTGCCAGCACTTTTGGGCCAACACAGCTGGGACTCAGTCTCAAAAAAAGGACCCCAGTGAGGGATTGCTTTGTGCATAACCAATTGTGGCACTCAGCCTGTCAGTGAGCAGTTCATAAATTAGATTCTTCCGGCACGCATCCATTTAAATGCCGTCTGCTACTGCAATTTCCTGTTTATGTTGTCGAACAGCTGGTTGGTTGCTCGGTTGAAAAGATAAGCACCCGTAGGCTATCGAAAGGAAATCTATTAGTTTGACTCCCGATTGATGCCATTGATGGATGGCAGGCGACTTAAGTCGGCTTTGGCTGCCTACAACTATTGATTTTCCTCACGGGGGACTTAAGGTTTCCTTTGAAATTGAAATTAAATTAAATTCCCATTCAGGCGTGCCAGCCACTTGGCGCACATTTTTTATATTCATCGCGGACTTTTACATTAACATTTCACTGGCGACGACTTAATGCGGCACTCAGCAATCCATATAAATTGTCAATAAAGCGCAAATGAGTCAAATGAAGTTGCATGGTAAAAATGTTAAGGATGTCCGTGTCCACTGCCCTCGTCTGACCAAGTTCCTTCCGGCGAATGGAAATGGCTGCCGTCGACAAAAGAAGGATGGAAAAATGCCATCGAGCGGAGGCAAGCTGAAGAATGCCAATGTTGATTGCTCCGGACAAGGACACGACCGGAAAAGGCACAATGACTGGCTTAAGAGACAAAGCCGCACACTATTGCACACAGCTATTATGCAGCTTTTGCCCCGTAAACATTGAAGGGAAATTGAATCAATTTTTTAAGCATTATTCTTATTGAAATTAATAAATAATACGGCTTAATGCCCGTCCATTTCCTTCTGGGCTGCTTATTGCATTGCTCATTCGCCGCGTTGGCTGCATTCAATATGCGGCATGCCTCTGCGGAGCTGCGTGAATATTACTGTGAATGTGAATGTGCGAACGCGTGTCTTTGTGCCCGGGCGCATTGGTGGACGTGGGCGAAGCGCCTCGAGCAATGACTGTAAATGAAAACAACAAACAGGCAACGGAATGTATACATCGATAACGAAAACTAATAATGCAGCCTGAATATGGCATACTCTTTATTGAATCTTATTCCAATTATGACAGCATTTCAATATGTCTTAAACATCGCTTTAGTACTTTATAAATACGTAATACATTTATGTAAGGCAAGTATCTTAGCACGCTATGCATGTATTAAAAGTTTAAGGCCCTTTAATTGTGGTAATAATTTCTGTTGAATATCACTAATACTTAAACAGCAGGAAACGGAAATAGAGATCATGCAGTTATCGCATTGAGAGTGCGAGAGAGCACAGCAAGTGCAACAGAGAAGACAGCCACTGCTCTCCCACAATTTGAACCACGTCAGTAATTGATGAGCGCAATGAGCGAGTGCCACACTCTAAGCTTCTCTTTCGCTCGCGCTCTCCCACACTTATACACCGCTTACGCTCAAACCTACTCATTTGCGGTCGCTTACGCTCAGAGCCTCTCATTTTCGCTGCGCTAGCGAGTGAACGGCTGCGTCAGTCGATCGCGCTCCCATACGATTCAGTCAGTCATTTGATCTCGAGTCGGACGGTTCGCGCGCGGAAGATTTTTCGGGAAAATGTCGTAAAGTTCGGAAAATCGATGTATATGATCGGGAGTATACCGAAAAGTGATTAAAACACCAAGCAACCACTGAAGAATGGGAAAGTTAGCTGCTATTGAAGATTAACTGCAAACCACATCGTGAATTACGCCTGATGTCCGCAAGTGTGTGTGTGTGTGTAACAATGTTGAACAAGGTGGAAGGCCAACTTTTTAAATCCCAAATAATCTGAAAGAAGTACACCGCTTGGATTACAGGGTAAATACAGGAAATTATGTCCAGGATATGCGGGGTAAGTGAAAACGATATATAATAACTCAATCCTTCTTAAAAATCAACTCATTTTATATTTATGAATTAAGTAACAGAAATATTGTAGATTATAAGAAGTTTCCTTAGGTTAAGAGACAAATCAGAAGGGCTTGACTAAATCCCATTATTGCTTAAAGCCCAATACAAATAGAAAACCAATCATGATCCCCCTTTGCCTCCCAATCAAATATGCAATTCCTTTGCCCTACAATAAAAGCGATTCAAAGGGATTCCGCAGTTCGGTCCTGCAGTAAAGCGTATTTGGACTGCAAAATCTCACAAACAACTATTTCCCAAGTCGGCGTCTAACACACATTTTATCGCAGCCCAAGTGCGTGTGTGGTTGTGTTTGAAGCAATTGTTCTGCGATGCCGAGCTTGTGTGTGGAATCCTGCATATGACAGACCAGACAGCCAGTTGATGTGGCTGTGTTTTTCTGATTTAATTGTTCCAGCAATTAGGTGCAACTTAAACTGACACTCAAATGCTTAGTTTCTGCCAGGTGGGAGTTCGGTTGCTCCCGACCTTTGCACAATTAGTGTTATTTAGATTCCATTTACTTTCCCAAAACACCAGGCACTCGGTAATTACGGCAAACTCGAGCCTTTGAGCGACCCAAAGTGCTAAAAGTGTATTGGATGCAAAGCGAAACAATGGAAATTTATAATTAATTCTATTTGCATCTTGGTCCTTTATGCAAACTTTAGGTAAACTTCTCCGGGCAATAACCTAATGTTGTGTAGGGTGGCTGTATGAAAACTTTTGCTATGCCAGTGCCAGAAAAAGTCGAAGGAAAAATTCAGTGCATCCTTAGGCGCAATCATCCGGCAAAGTCTACACAAAGTGAATTCTCTATCACTCGCCTTCTCACTCACTCTATCCCTATCACTTTCCGGCTTTCCATTCGTGGGTGTGAGCCGCTTGTGTCAGCTTATGTGTGTGTGTGTGGTCGGTGGCAGTTGCCACTGCGTCAACCGCATATCAGCATTGCAAACTATAACCAAGGCCCTAAAATGGCTTAAAAATATGACTTTTTAATACCCTGCAGTATCCCTATCATCCTAGTTATGGTAACGACTAACTTTTGCAATAATTCTAGCGAGTTTGTGGAAATTAAATGCTGGAAAAGCTTACAGTTTGGGTGTCTCGCAAAATATTAGTATTCTACGTTTATATTGTGATTATAATATTGCTTTTAAAATTAAATTTCCCTGGGTTTTATTAACTTCTTTAAATATATTGCGAAGTTTTATATATAACTTAGCATGAAAATTAACATAGCATACTTATAGAAGTGTCCGCAATTACTTCATAAGAGAGTTGCACTTCGCAATTTGAATAACAAGAATTCATAACATACGTTTTGTTTTCTAAATTTTAGAAACTGAGAATTCATTTATTTATTTGTTCTCCATTCTTCCTAGCAAAAGCAGTAAACCACAAAAACATTAAATTGCAACTCTTAAAAAACAGACAGAGTTATTTAGTAACTCGGCACTCTGAAACCCTTCATCGTCTTAGCCTCTCGCAAATTGAGATACGATTTCTGTGAAGTGAATTTACACTTCGTTAGTCTTGCCAAATTTGATTGCGCCCTCGACTCTTTGGGGTTCAAATGGGAGGAGAACTGGGAACTGAGGACTGAGGATGAGGGAACTGAGCGATGGCCACATCTGCTGTCGGCATTATTACCCAGCTCAGTGCTGTTAATGAT